ACACACAAATTGTAAGCTCTTCTCTTGTCTATAGGCTTCTCCCTAGACTATGATCACCTTATAGGCAGGGTCCATGTCCTAGTTGATCTTTTTCTTTGGTACCTAGCATAATGCCTAGAATAAAATAAGCATTAAATTTCTTGTTTGAAAATTAAAATTTTTTCTTAACAGTTAAGTGCATGCTTGTCTTTTTTGGTCAAAAATACAGAAATCATCAGCTGATAAGACAGAAGTTCGAAAAATCAGTCTCTGGATGTTATGGATGCTTCAAACTGAAACTGCCATATATTTGTTTAATATTTTACTACCCTCACTTTGTCCCAGCATACAGTGGGCACCCCTTTAGAACTATGTGATCCTTTTCATGCCTTTTACCAACAAATAACTTCTAATTATAAAATATAATCTTTCTGTATTGCTATATATCCAGAAAAGAGAGGATAGGATTTTAGCCCTTTTTATTTTCCTAGGTTTTTCTGTATAAACTCTATCTATAGATCACTTTAGGTTGACTGTGGAGGAAAGATAGAACCCCAGACAAGATTTATTCTTTTTACTAATTCCTAGGTTCATTCAATAGGTGTTTATTGAACACAGTTGTCCCAACTGTGGTGTGGGACATCAGACCCATAGTTTTCAACCTTTTTGTGTTCACATTTGAAGAGGTTAAAGATTCTGTTTTCACGTGTTGCAGTAAATGCCACGTTTCTTGGGTGCTCACTTGACATTATGCTCTATACCTCTTCTCAAAGCAAGTGGTACCTGCTCTGCATCATATAACATAACCCACTTGGACAAGTTGCATCTGGTTCACATCACTGAGTGTTATTGTGTATTATATAGGGTTTGAAATTTAGCAGCACACCAGCGAAGACTTTGTGCTGCTTATTGGTTGGGAATTATTACCAAAGGCTTAACTTATAAAAAGACAGGTTCTAAAGATAATGTATAATGAAAAATTGTGAATAGGCAGAATCTCCCCTGAAGTTCCATTAATTGACACTTAAAGTACAGTATTTGTTGGCAAATTAGGTACCATGTTGGAGTCTGCATCATCTCTTAATAAGCTAAACCTGGCCAGTTTTCCATGCTACTATCAAAATGTTCTTCATTGAGCACCACATGCTTGTAAAGGTGACATTTTGTATGAAAAATACGTATTTTTAAACATTAGACCCAGACACTTTTCGCAAGATGTGCATACAACAAAGTGTAACTGGGAATTGTGACCAAGAGAACAAAACCAGCAACAAAATTGTTCCTGGGGATTTGCTTGTTAAGTAGATTGTAGGTGGAATCACCTGTATCTTTCAAATTATATTTCTTTCTCTCTGTGAGTAGGATTGAGTTCACATTAGTTCAATGAGCACATGATACAGTTGCACTATAAAAATTAGTAGAAGGCAGTCTCTCTTCTTGAGAAGTTTGTAGTTTAATTAGGAAGTCAAGACATGCATGTGTGGAAAAAAAAGAACAACTTAAAGAGTTGGGAAGGACAGGGCAACATATTCTAATTTTAAATGTACTGTAGTTATTAATAATGGAGTTGAAAGCCTTTTCCAGGATCTTTGAACACTTTCGTGGGATTTCTTTTTTCATAGAGCTAAAGAAATATGAAACTAAGTCTGCAGAGCTACTGATCACCATGCCCATTTTGTGAAAAACATCATGGGAAGGAAGACCTAAAGGAACAGAGATCTCTGTTCCCAAGGGGGATAATACAGTGCTCATAAAAGCTTGTCAGTCTGTTTTGTTCTTTTGGCTTTGTTATTGCTTCAGCTTCACAGGGGATTAGGTATATGAGACGTATGCATTGTGAAACTCTGAATGGTTGTAAGTAGCGAATAATAATTGCAACTGAAATACGAATGGTCAATTATTTGAATTTGTAAGGTAGGGTTATGATAACTGTAGGGCAACTCTACTGGTGTTGGCAAGGTAGCTCCAAAAATTTCAGCCTCATGTAATAATGGACTACAGAAATTCGTGTATTGGAAAATTAGGAAATGTACATTAGGAAATGTAACTAACATTTTTTGAAACTCTAATATGTGCCAAGCACTGTACTGTATATTTTACATAGTTTTTTTTCATTCAGTCTTAGTAACAAGCCAAAAGATAGGCATTGGTGTCCTCATATTACAGATAAAGAAATGATTCCAGCAAGTAAGTAAATTGGCCAAGCTCACACAAATAGGAAAGTAGGTCTCTGGCTGGCTCCAAATTCTATACTCTTCCCACTGTAGTCATGATGCCCCAGTAGGTACATCATGCATCCTATTTACTTTTTCTCTACCTAGCCCCCATATTCTTCATGCTCACAGATATGACCGTCAATAGAACTCATTTTACGAATTTTATAATATATAGATTTTGTTAACGAAACTCATTTAAAAACTTATTAGCTTTGTTTGTCCTGAAACTAAATGTGTAAATAAAGGTCACGCATATGATTTGCTGGTCCTTGAAAAAGATTAAGTAGAAAAATAACTGATGTAACTTGACATTATATTATAGATCTTAATGATTGTAATTGAACTGTCAATGGTGATGAAAAAATAAGTTAACTCAGAACTCATATAACTTTTTCCCTAAAGCTTTCAGAGTTTTTTTTTTTTTCTCCTCAAAGCCCCAATACATAGTTGTATATCCTAGTTGTAGGTCCTTCTAGTTCTTCTGTGTGTGACTCTGCCTCAGCATGGCTTGATGAGGGGTGAGTAGGTCCACGCCCAGGATCCGAAGGGCAGACCCTGGGCCACCGAAGCAGAGCGCGCGAACTTAACTGCTACGCCACGGGGCCAGCCCTGTTTCAGAGTATTAATAGAAGTATTTTGTAGTTTTGTTATAGTTTTTAAGTTTAGCAAAAGCCATCCCAATTGGGTCTCAATTCTTTTTCTTTACTAATCTTTATTCTCTAATTCTTAAGAAGGAATTTGCTGGGCCGGCCTGGTGGCATAGTGGTTAAGTTTGTGCACTCTGCTTCAGCAGCCTAGGGGTTGCAGGTTTGGATCCCCGGTACAGACCTATGCACTGCTCATCAAGCCATGCTATGGCAGTGTCCCACATACAAAAAAAGAGGAAGATGGGCACAGATGTTGGCTCAGGGGCCAATCTTCCTCACAAAAGAAAAAAAAAAGAAAAAACAAGAAGGAATTCACTGCCTCACCATCCCCAAACTTTAAACTGTGGAGGCTTATCAGAGTTTTAGAACTAAAAGATAATTTGTTTTCATTAGTTTCAAGTAATTACATTTAATCTTATTCTTTTCCATTCCCCATAGTTTATCAGATCTGACCTTACATATTGCGATGATGATATTAATTTAGACACTATTAAAATGGCATTGTAGCTTTATATTTGTCTCAGTGGCAAAGTACTATTTACTAACTCATACTTGCTTCTCCCATTACATAATATTGCCTTAATCTAGCTGGTAATATATGGTGATAAAAGCTTGACTGATGCAGACACAAGATGAAAACACAGGTATTGGTGTTAGTCTGTAACATTATTGTTTTCTGTTTTGAGAAGCAAATCAGGGTTGGCTCAAGGCTTTGTTTATAAAAATATATGTAATTTTTCTTTTTGAAATGCAGCAAGTTAAAGACTTTTGTTTTATTGTAGTCCTGAAATGTGGCATTTTTAAAAAGTTCAGATAACGCTTGATTTATAAACACCTGACTTAAAACATAGAGTGATTGACTGTCTATGTTCCTTCATAAAAAGACTCATTTTTTTCTCCTGGTATAGCCATAGTACCACTTTTTAAAAAGTGTTCTTGGTGCTAGAAATTGCTTCTACTTCTTTCTTCTCTCCTCACTGCCTTTGTCCTATTTTCTCACATGCCTCCAATTTTATCCCACTACTGCCACCATCAGCTTGGCGACCAGAAATGGCAAAGTCAGCTTTTTTCTTATCTATATAAATCCTATTACTCTTTTTTTGTTGCCACTAGCTTAGTGGTTCTCAGCTGAGGGCGATTATCATGATTTTGGAGACCTCCTGGAGCTTAATGGTTTTTTTCTTGTCTGGCAGAATAGTATATTCTTCAAGTGTCCCTCCTGTAAAATGAACTGATATGTTATTGCATCTTCCTGAAGCTTTATCTTATCTATCTAAGAAACAGAAAGAGGATTTATACAGATTGCCACAAGCATAAATTTAAAAAGAGCATAAATTCAAAAATAAGTATAAATTTTAAGAGCATTCTGAAAAAAGTGAAGAATTTTATAAATAAGGGTTTTTTTTTCTAAATAATATCATTAAACTTTTAAGGTTGTATATTTTTTCTAAATGATTTCAAAAACAATTAGTCCAGCTGATTTGAATAAAGATAAAAAACAAACAAACAACCTTGCAAACTAGTAGCATTAGCCTTTGCCGCTAGAAGGTTTTCACCAATGAGTAAACAGAGGCTCAGAAAGGTTCTGTGACTTGCCCAAGGTCACACAGTCAGAGACAGCCAGGATCAACCAGCTATTGAACAAAACTCAAAGCAAGGAGACACTTTTATTTTAGGTGGTGATGTTTTTAATTCTAATCTTAGAAAGAAATGCTGTTGATCCTTAGGTCAAATTGACTATAAAAATGATCTATTTTGATCTGATATGAGAAGACAGGAATTCCAATGTCAAAGACAAAAGAGATACAGAGGACCAGAATTCTTTTGAGTACCATGTAATTGTTACCTGACTTCGAGCAGTGTCTAGAATTTTACTGGAAGATGCAGTATGTAGGTAGCTATGAAAGCAATTTTAAGGCAAAATTTTATTTACACTGTAGATATACTTTACCAGCCTCCTTACTTCCCATAAAGCATTTCAACTGTCAAAGGCAATTTCAAGAATTTGTGTTTTGTAAAGAGGATAGACCAGTAACTAATGTATCAAACTTGCTGCTTGGTGCCATATTGAGTCCCAGAAATGACCTGGCATTGTGAATGATTCTTCTTCAAAAGGATTAATGAATGTGTAATAAGTTTTCTTTCTTTCTTTTTCCAGCCAAGGACCCTTGTCATCCATTAGAGCAGTAATCAAGAGAAGTAAGTTTGTTTTTTCCTGCTCTGTATTTTCCTCTGTAATAATTTTAAATGATGATATAGATTTCCAGCAAATGATTATATTTGATGGATCTTACAAAGAATCCAACAAGAGTAACTTCTCCTAAAGAGTAATAAACCATTTCAGAAAAGCAACTCGTTTTTCAACTTTCTTTTCAACTTTCACTTATTAATATGCCAGTTCCTCAGAACAATATTTTTCTCTTACAGAACTAAGCTGTTAAAAAAAAAATCTGGGGCCCAGCCCAATTGCGCAAGTGGTTAAGTGGGCACGCTCTGCTGCTGCGCCCCGGGATTTGCCGATTCGGCTCCCCGGCGCACACCGATGCACTGCTTGGCGGGCCATGCTGTGGTGGCGTCCCATATAAAGTGGAGGAAGATGGGCACGGATGTTAGTCCAGGGCCAGTCTTCCTCAGCAAAAAAAGAGGAGGATTGGCAGATGTTAGCACAGGGCTGATCTCCTCACAAAAAAAAAAAAAATCTGGATTATCTAGTCAATTTCCATGATCTAATATAAATTTTATGTAACCATTTTCCATATGTAGAGACATCTGATGGGTTTAAAAAATATCAGACCCTGTCCTTTTTGATTCATTTGCTTCCACAGTATTTTTATTTAACTGTATAAATGCCTGTGGAGTTCAGCTCACACTTCCACATACGAGATAGAAATGCTGTAATATATTCTCTCCAAAATGGTGCATTCGTACTTTCTGACTTTACCTCTTAGTTAAATCTTTAAAACTTTAAAACTTACTCTTGGTGTAAGACTTTAACTTTTTTTTTTTGTGAGGAAGATCGGCCCTGAGCTAACATTTGCCAATCCTCCTCTTTTTGCTGAGGAAGACCGGCCCTGGGCTAACATCCGTGCCCATCTTGCTCCACTTTTTATGGGATGCCACCACAGCATGGCTTGACATGCGTCGGTGCCCGCCCGGAATCCGAACCGGCAAACCCTGGGCCCCCGCAGCGGAGCGTGCGCACTTAACCGCTTGCGCCACTGGGCTGGCCCCCAAGACTTTAACATTTTTTAAAATAAAAGACTCTACAAAGGTCTCTTTTCCAAATAGAACATGGATTACCTGTTATTAAAAAAAGAAAGGAGGGATTTTTAAGTGTTCTTCACATTATTTGAGCTGAGGTCACCACCCTGAGGAGGATGTATCCTGCTTTTAGAAACATTAATTTGTAATATTTAGTATGAATTTAGGATATCCACAGGTTGTAAAGAGCATCCATTGGAACGATTGTGGTGAAAAATTTGTAAGGTGGAAATACAGAAAGATATTCCATGATTCCCCACGTTTCATTTTGTTGGTGATGGTGGTGAGTTACAAAGATGTGAGAATGCCACACTGTATGGTGAAGGAGATTCAGATGTCAAAATGAAAAATTCATGATAGCTTTACATGCCTTAAAGACCTTGGAGTAGGGGTAGGGGGAGAAAGGGCAGGGAGAGAATTTAAAAAGGAAATTAGGGTCTGGAATTTAGGCAAGAATTTCTTGTTGGAGATATAATTTGTGGTAATCAAGGTTATAGGCAAAACCCTGGGAGTAGCTAAACATTTAGGGAGAAAGTGTAGAGGATAGAGAAGATGACAAAGGCAGAATCTTGGGAAACATTGATATCTGAGGCCGACTATGCCTTTAAGTTGCCGCAGGGCAAAAGATGCCTGACCCCAAAACCCAGACCTGCTGAGGATGAGGGCCTCCTTTCTCTGAGTCCTGTCTGCTGGTTCCTGCTTTTGTTCTCTGGCTTCTTACCTTTCCTACCTCTTGGATTTCAGGACCTCTTTGTTGGGGATTGTAATTTGTTCCTGACTTCCCATAGATCCTCCTGGATGGATTTTACTTACCCTGAGGCATCTGTGCTGTGCAAGGATTAAGGAGAAGGCAGCTAAGGAGGAGTGGGCAAAAAAAGGCTGAAAAAGAATGATGAGAATAATAGAAAAACTAGGAGACAGCCGTGTATTAGAGGTCAAGGGAGGAGAGGTTTTTGAAAAGAATGAGTGAACCACAAATAGCTCTTAATGCTGCAGCAAGGTCAAACAAAAGGTGGCTGAGACTAGGTCATCGTATGTGGCACTTAGGAGGTCAGTGGTGACCTTTGAGAGAGCAGTTTCAGTAGAACATTGAAGTTGGAAGCCACACTTCAATTTGAACAATGAATGGAATATGTGGAAGTTGGGACAGCTGGGGTAGGCCACTCTTTTATGAAATGTGGTGGTAAACAGAAGGAGAGGGAGGGGCTGTCACTTGAGAAAGGAGGAAGGTCAAGCAGAGAAGAGATTTGAATGTCTTCATAGACTGTTTAGGATGAGGAAGCTTGGAAACATTTGTAGGCAGCAGGGAAGGAATCAGACAGAGATCAGAAGAAGAAATTGGTGAAGCAGGGCCCTAGAAGAGAGAGGAAGGAGATGAAACAAAGGGAAAACTCTTGCTTTGAGGCTTTAAAAAAAAAAAAAACAACTAACCCAGTTGTCTTTTAGTTCTTAGGTGTCAGTCGCTTTGTGTACACTAAAGAAATATTTGTTGGTTGTATTTATCCCTGATGTTTAGGCAAGAAGGCCAAACCTGATCCTCAAGTGATGCCATGTAAATACAGAATGAGGAATAATTGTGTCATCCCTTGTCTTTTTCCCCATTTTGCCCATTCTATAAGAAAAATTACATTGTAAACAGTTTTTGTCTTACCCAACCCATTGAAATGTTTGCTTTACTACCCCAGATTCAGTCATCTAACCCTGGCAAGGAGAAAGACTTTATCAGATTTTTAAAGCAATATTCCTTAACTGGTTGTATTTTAAATTCTTTCATAATGATTCTGGTTCCAATAAAGCCTTGAGGTCCTTTTTTTTGCATTCATTCTTGTGATCCCTAAATATTTTGAGTAAAGATCTTAAAAGTGTCTAATTGAATATATCTGGAATTTCATGATTTTTCCTTTCATTAACTGTTTAAGAGAAAGTTATTCTCTGAAATTCAGATTTAGCTAATATTCACTGCTTCTTGTAAGTCAGGAACTGTTCACATACATTATAAAATAACACTCCGCGTGGTAGGTATTAGCCCCATTTTACAGATGGTAAGGACACTGAGTCTCAGAGAGGTTAAATGCTTCACAAGGTAGATCTGAGATGTGAACCTAGACTTCCTGACTCCAAGGCCATTGAGCTTTCGACTCCACGGATGTTCTTGTTATCATGTCAAATGCATCCAGCTCATACGCTGTCTCAAGCAAATGTAGTTATTACTGAGTTAGTGAGTTATTTTTTATTATTGTGATTTTCATTGGTAAGACAGTATTATAGCCAAGATGCTTGTAGTATAATCCTTCTGTGTGTTTATTTCTTCTTACCATCATTTAGTTGATAATTTTGAATTATTTAGGGTCAGAACTAGTATCCAGCTCTCCTGGCTCTACAAGGAGTTAAACTGCTTCAAGGCACAAACTGCTCCCAGCCCTTCCCGTAATGGGCTGTGACCTGGGATAATTTGTTTAACCTCTCTGTATCTCAGTGTCCTCATCTGTAAGGTGAGGAGTAGGATGATCACTGAGGATCCTTCCAGGCTTATGATCCTGTTGGAATTTAGGAGGATTCTTTATTAGTGCTAATATTGCAAGTCCAGATCTCAATCTTTTATAAACAGCTGAATATGAATTTGTTTTATACTTAGAATTTAACTATATGAACTAGAAAAGTTTGAAAATAGTTCTGTAAAATGGCAGAATAACTTTAAGTGAAAATACTGCCTTTATTCTGTGGCCTTAATCCAAAATGCATGAAACACGAGTAGCTGGTGGCAGGGGATTAAAGGAACATGTTTGTCTGTATGGGCATTGGTGGCAAATTCAATTCTCCTGGCAACATCTATGCCAAATCTGTGTAATCTGGAAAAATGAGGATGAGATTAAGCAGATAGTTGAGAAAATAGCAGGAAGAGTGTGAGACACTACATGAAAATCTAGTGTTTCTAGCCACTAAACTTGTTCAACAATGACAAAAAGTGTCAGTCATTTCTATGAGGTTCAAGAGAGAAAAGAGATTTCATAGATGAGTGAAATTGAAAAAAAAAATTAAGAGCAGAAGAAGGAAAAGCAGTGATTCTCAAAGGATATGGAAAAGATCTGTAAGTATGATTGGGAGACCTCTTCTCCTCTCATTCTGCTACATCCAGAGTAGGAATACTACTCTGCTAACCAGGGGGACCTGTTGCTAACGACCTCTGGTGTGAATGGGCAAAATCAAGTGCAAAGCCACTGATTTAAAAGAATGTAAATTGACTACTGAATTACCTTTTAAGTGTTGTATTCATACTTTAGAATTGATTCCTATTGAAGTAGCAAATTGATTTTACAAAATGGCTTTTAGATTTTTTTGCACTGTTGTTAAAAATGATGGGTAGATTTTTTTACTGTGGTTGTGTGTAGGAGCATCCTGGTCTGTACAGACTTATCTTTTCCACAACATATTGCTTTACTCTCTGAAACTATTGTTCATCAACTTTTCTTTTCTGTCGAAGTGTGCAGAGTGGGGACAGTGGCATGGCAAAACAGTCTTGCTCCTGAATTCCTTTTAGAGCATAGGCAACTGGGTTCACTCCTTTTTCTCCCTTTCCTCTTCTATAACCCCTTCTTTTTTTCCCTTAGCACTCATGAATAGTGCACAGCAAAAATGCCCCGTGGAAGAGGTATGTTTGTGACAATAACATGATGTCTTTTAATAGTGCTGTCTGCTGATTCTGGCTTTCGTGATAGCGGTGATGTGATTGTAGTACTTGGTGAGCCTCTGACTTAATGAAGCCATTCTTATGAATCAGATGCGCCCCTCAGAGCTTTAGCCTCTCTGTCCTCTTTTATTCCAGTAGACAAAATGTACAAGATTTAGCTCTTGACAAAAATGTAACAGTCAGACCAGTTAATGATAGGAATATATGACATCCTCCAACTCAAGATCCAGAGGGTTTGGTTTCAGATGTTGGGTTTGCTGTGCCAACCCAGCATAGGTTCAGCTGTCACAGCTCCAACCCCAGCCTAAATTCCATTCTCACCTCCCACCTCCACCTCTGCCTCCCCGGCTTTGGCAGCCTCCTTGTTCAGAGAGAATCAAAAGTTAATAGGAGAAGGAAAGAAAAGATTCACATCTTCAACCTTTTCAAATCAGAAGAATTTGATTTGAAATCAGAAAAAGTATTGTAGAGATACAAAGGCAACTGGTAGAAATAGTTTCTATCTGAAACATATTCCCTTTTGTGCACAAATCTTTACAAAGTAGTACATATTTGAAGATTTTTAAGAGATATATTAAAAAAAAAAAAAAAAGAGATATATTTAGAATGTGCTCCTTGAAAATAGGGATAATATTCCCTATTACACATATGGGTAATATATGACCCCATATGTGACATTTTCCAGATCATCTGATTAAGACTGGATTTAGTTTTAAAATAAAATTTGGAAAAAATTTAAGCCATCTAGCTTTTTGAGTTTGAGACTTGAGGGAAAAGTCAATGCTGCATATACAGTTGTATAGGTTATAAACGTTTATAAAAGTGTTTTGAACACTTTTTGCTTTTCTTATTATCTCTTAATTTAGGTAATAAAACAACATAAATGTTATAAAATTCCAGAAGAGTTAGCAAATAGATGAAAATTTGACCACTTCCACTCTCTTTGCAATAGAGTTATAAACAAATATGACAAAAGTATAGTCATGTGGTTGAGAATAGATATTTAATTTTTTTCTGCTCATTGTTATTTCATGTCATTGTCATAATGCTCTTACCATGCACTTTGTATTTAATAGCTATCTTCTTATCTCTGTTCATTCTTCAGATTATTTTCAGAACCACAGAATATGTTTTGGGGAGTTTTTGAAATCTATATTTTCTTATGCAGTTCAAATATGTAACTATAACTTTATGCCATGTAAAAAGATCATTTTGATTTGCTTTTCAATTATCAATGTTAAAATTCATACATTCTATATGATATCAAGTATAAGCTAACTTTTTCTAATGGGGTACCCTATACAAATTTAAGCCTTTATAGAATGTACTAATTTTTGTGTTATATCAGTTTATTTTTTCTTCTATAGCTTCTCGGACTTCTATTCAGAGTGAGCTTCATCGAGAGAGGAGGTATGGTTATATTTGTAACAAAGGGCATATATTCTGCAAATAATGAAATCAAAATGTATTATCAGCAAGTTAAATATTTCTCTTTCATAAACAATGTATTACAGTGTTTTGCCTCATTAGTACATTTCCTGAATTAATCTGTAAGTTTGAATGATGAAGATTTTCCTTGAGAGAAGAAGCAATACAAGCCTGAAAATGTTCTTTTGACAGTGATTATTTACTGAAGTCAATTTAAAAAATGTTTATTAAGCAACTTCTATATGTAAAGCATTGTTGTAACTGCTTCAAAGAAATGCTTTGTACTGCCTAGCCACTTAGTAAATGTTGCACAGATAAATGCGTAGATGACAGGATAAAAAATGGAATGGAAGGATAAAGAAGGAAAAGAGTCAAGCAGGCTGGATAGACAGCTGAATAGATAAATGACTGGATGATTGGTTGGAGAGAAGGAAGGAGGGGAAGAGGAAGGAGTGAGTCACTGGGTAGATAGAAGGAAGGACCAATAGACAGACAGACAGGTGGTAGAATGGGTGGAAGTGTGGACAGGTGGGTAAATAGATTTTTTATAAGACGTGGTTCCTGCTTTCACTTTTCTTACAGTGTAGTATAGAGTAATGAAGAACAAGGACTTTAGAGTCAGACATAACCAAGTACTTCACTACTTTCTTACTGTGTGACCTGGGGCAAGCTACTTAGTCTTTCTTAGCTTCTGTATCCCCACCTTTAAAATGGTGCTAATCATACCTACCTCATAAGGTTGTTGTGTATGGTGCTTAACATTTATTAACTGTTAACTCTTTTTATTTAGTTAGACCAAAGCTGTAAGCAGAGGTTCTTGGGTAATACGGTTCAAATTTAATCAATGAGTAGGTTTTACTGTTTCACAAGCTAGCATGAGAATATGTGTATATGCACAGTTTTGGTAATGGCAGTGCTTTTTTATTTTTATTTTCCGCAGAGTGCTAGAGAAAAGCAGAACAGATATCATCATCCCTATTTGTTAGATGAGAAAACTGAGGCTCAGAGAAGTTGATTAATTTGCTCAGGGTCACACAGTTGGTGTTTGTTAAGAAATCATGTTGATGGGCCGGCTCTGTGGCTTAGCGGTTGAGTGCGCGCGCTCTGATGCTGGCGGCCCGGGTTCGGATCCCGGGCGCGCCCCGAGGCACCACTTCTCCGTCCAACGCGAGGCCGAGTCCCACGTACAGCAACTAGAAGGATGTGAACCTATGACATACAACTGTCTGCTGCGGCTTTGGGGGGAAAAAAGTGAATAAATAAAAAATCTTTAAAAAAAAAAAAGAAATCATGTTGAAAATAAAACTTAAACATGAGACTATAGAATCAGATTAAGAAAATGATGAGGGGCTGGTCTGGTAGCGTAGTGGTTAACTTCGCGCACTGCACTTCAGAGGCCTGGGGTTCGCAGGTTCGAATCCTGGGCACGGCCTGATGCGCCACTCATCAAGCCATGCTGTGGCGGCATCCCACGTACAAAATGGAGGAAGATGGGCACAGACGTTAGCTCAGAGCCCATCTTCCTCAGTAAAAAGAGGAAGATCGGCAACAGATGTTAGCTCAGGGCTAATCTTCCTCAACAAAAAGAGGAGGATTGGCAACGAAAGTTAGCTCAGGGCCAATCTTCCTCGCAAAAAAAAAAAGAAGGAAAGAAAAGAAAAGAATGAAAGGAGCCGTGCCCAAATCACTATGGCTCCTCACTATTAAAGATTAATCATCAAATTCATACACAAAACTGACCAGGAACACAGACACATCAGGGTCCAAAAGTGAACACGTAAACTCTAAACACTTAAAGGTGACTGTGAATTGGGGCACAGGTGGAGTGAGGAGAAAGAGAATATTCTATTTATATAGTATCACTTCAGAGTATCTACTTCATAATAACAGAAAACTAAACAGTTCTATTCAACCAGTGTACTTTTCTACCTTCCAATATGTTTCTGTTTGTGCAATAGGCTAGATAGCAGAGCCCTGGAACAAAGAGATTGTATGGGCTTTACTTAGTCCTTATTCTTATCAACCAAGGCAGAGCTAAGTGAGTTCAGGGTACATCTCTAACTTTTTGAGGCCAAAGTTGTAGAGAATGATTGTCATTTGCTCCCTTGAAGTGTGCCTGGGTGTACTGTTAGAGACAGCCCAGGCCAGAGAGGTCATTTCTGTGACTATGGAAGTTCTCATGTAACTTTTTTGGGTGATAGTTGTTTTCATGAATCTTTGAACATCTGCGAATAGACAATAGCTTGTTACCAACCTGCAAAACCTCACTGAGGCTTCTGTCTGCTAGGCGCCCAGAGATCACCATTGTGGCAGCTGAGCCACTGAGGCCAGCCTCGTGGTTTCCAGGAGCCCCACCTCCGGGACTGGGGTTTCCTGCATCTTCTGCAGCATGCTCTTGGAGGCCCAGTGAGCTGGTTCCTACTGAGGTGAATAAATATCACATTATCTCTTTGCATTTTATTTGCAAAATGAAGTTCAAAAATAAGAACAGTGGGACTGTTAACATCTTGGCTATTGCCCATAGATGTCTAAAATCTTCATTCTTTATTTTGCAGCTCCCACCATCTTATGAACAAGTCATAAAAGAAATCAACCAAGTTCAAGTTAATACTACAAATAATAATAATGCTGCTGCGACTCCAAGGCACACTATTACTTCTGCAACTCAGACTGACTTTTCAGAAGAAATAGACAACCATCTGCCTCAAAGTAATGCAAGTAATTTGTCTTCCCTAATTCTGACCTAGTTTTAGGGGAGCAGTCAGTAGTAGGCTCTAGCCTTTAAAATAATTTGCAATTTGTGCATAATTCATTGAGTTCTGCTTCCCAGTCAGTGTGATCATTGTGTACTTTCTTTATTTGGGTTTGCTATGATTATTATGATAATAGATCATTCTCACGAGCCACAGCCCCAATTTCTTGGGCTCACACTAGTTCATGTCACAAAAACATCATCCTTTTAACTCATAGTTGGCATTACTGCTTATGCCCTTTATTCCCATAGAGAAAGATGTTATGTTTAGCAACTTAAACTTGACAGGATGCTAAAGGTGGCTGTCCTGTTAGGCTTTTAAAAAGCATTGTATTTGGATAACTTTGGAAAAGTAAAGCAAGAAATGTTGGAATTTTGATGAGAGAAATGGTTCATGTGATAAGTCTACTGAGAATCAGGAATTTAATGGTGTTTTAAAATAGTATATAGCGAATATTTCTTATATGAATAAATATAACTTGAAGAACACTCCTGCAGGAAGCTGAGTATAAACAATTTCCCCACTGGTTTTGGAATTATTTTTTACAAATTAAGGAAACCAAAATCTCTTGTATTCTACATGTATATTTTAAAAATCTGTGTATCTTCTGTTATTTTTTCTTTTAAATTATAGCATTGCAACTTCTTTTTGTTTGTTTTGGTCTTTTCAGCACTACAGGCACCTCTCAAACCTCTTCAGCCTTCCCCAGCAGTCTCAGCCAGTGATCTTCTGACAAATGTGGCGCCTTTAATAGTCTTTGATGTTGCTGAAGAACAGAATTGTCCAGAAAACTCCAGTGCTACAAGATGTCCAGTGCCAAAACCAAGATCAAAAAGCAACCTCAGACCAGTAGCCAGAGATACTCACATTAAAAAGCAGCATCACCAGAAAATCAGCTCTGCGGCCACAAAAGAAGAGTCATCCCCAAGCCAGCCCCAGTCTCTGCTGGACAATACCAACGACTTGGATAGTCAGGCAGTAATGAACATTATGAACACAGAACGAAGCCAAAATAGTATTGTTTCAAGGATCAAAGCATTTGAGGGTCAGACAAATACAGAAACCTCGGGACTGCCCAAGAAACCAGAAATTGCTCCCCGCACACTCCCCCCAAGGCCTACTGTTTCCTCAGGGAAACCCTCTGTGGCTCCCAAACCAGCTGCTAACAGAGCTTCTGGAGAATGGAACTCCTGGACTGAAAACAGACTCAAGGTGGCCTCTAGGGAAGGGCTCACCCCACACTCTCCACTGCAAGAAGCAGGGAGCATCCCAGTAACCAAACCTGAATTGCCAAAGAAACCAAATCCTGGCCTTATACGCAGTGTTACTCATGAGATTCTGGGAGGAGGGCCCGTGGCTGAGAGCCCTGATGGTGGGAAGAAAGTCCCAACTCCTGCTCCTCGGCCTTTGCTGCCGAAGAAATCGGTTTCCTCAGAAAACCCCACCTACCCTGCAGCTTCGCTGAAACCGGTCACTGTTCCTCCCCGACTCTCAGTGGCATCACAAGCCAAAGCATTCAGGTCACTGGGAGAAGGACCCCCAGCCAACCCCCCAGTTCCAGTTCTGCAAAGCAAGCCTCTGGGGGACATCGACCTCATCAGTTTTGATGATGATGTTTTACCCACCCCATCTGGGAACCTGGTTGAAGACTCCCTGGGTTCAGCGTTGGTTCTGGGTGAGTAAATCAGAAGTGGAGGGGAATCTAAACTCATCATAGGGTATCTTGAATGGCACTTGCTGTTTTAGTTTCCACTACATAAGTTATTGCGGTGTATACGTATGCGTGTGTGCACATGCATGTGTGTGTATAGAAACGGGGAAATACAGAGAGACTAAGAAACATGGAACTGGGTGGGAGTTAGAAACAGAGAGGAATGGAAATATGGGATGGGGGAGGTGGAGATGGAGAAAGAGGGAGACATGCATGTTGATTACTGTTTTATGAGCCAGGAATAAGCAGACTGGGACTAAGGGTGAAACTAGTTGTGAGGCTGGCTCCCTTTCTCTGGTAGGTACAGATTCACGCATTAGGAGGATGCAAGGGAAATTCTCATAGATGAGAAGTCATGCAGTGGCCCCAGAAGGACTCCTAAAATTGAACTGGCCCCGCTGGGAGTGTCAGCAGAAGGGCCAGCCCTGGGGAGGACTCCGGCAAGAGCAGTGCAAGGAGTGAGGACCCAGCCATATGTTGCAATTTTTTTCCCATAATCTTCACGGAACATCTTCCCTTGGGAATGCAAAGTTTTGTAAATAAAATATAACACTTCTAAGTTTCCTGCCAAGATCAGGACAATTAAATTTCCCAAGAGGCAGAGAGGATGTTTTCTTTCCTCGTGCTGTTCATTCAGATGGAGGATGTGGTGGTGAAGCTTATCTTTGATTTGTCAAACTAAGCTGCCCTACTTGTCATTGATAAGATTCCTTTTACTACTCTTTGTTTATTTGGGTAGAATTTGTGAACATGTAAACTTGATAGTATTTTCAAAAGGTTAGCTGTCATCTTATAAATGTTTAACATGCGTCAAAATGGTATACATTCTGTGATTTAAAACCAAATTCTGCACAGCACAGGTGTATTTTAAATGATAACAAACACATTTATTAAATATTTATCATGCACATAATATTGTAGCTGGCTATGGAATGCCTCTTGTCCATAAAGAGTGGAAGGAAGAACATTAGAATGTATTGAGCTTCTGCAGGGTTCCAACCCCTCTGCTGGATACCCAGACATACATTATTTAACTTAATACTTTCAGTAACCCTCTGCAGCATATCGTTGGCCTCAGTTTGTAGACAGAGAACATAAGGTTGAGAGATATCAATGTATGGTAACTTCCCAGTGTCAGAAAACTAACAATTTTCTGAGGCAGGATTCAAACACAGTCTTTTTATTCTAAATTTAGTTTATTTTCACTATATCATGTTGCCATTCAACATTTTCATGAATCCTTAAACCAGGCAACACATTAAAAACTTTCAAGTGTTTGTTATATCATTTTCTTATTTAAACCTTTTTGGTGTTACAAGGTTCAGGGTAGGACAGGAATGGGTAAATCCAACAGAAGCAAGCCATTAAGGAGTGGAAACAGTTCAAGGCAAAGAAATATCACCTTTTGTAGAACCTGCTGGATTCTATGGGGATGGCAACTTGGTTAATAATTGCTGAGAATTTATTCTGTGTCATCAAGCAGATAATTACAGTCATCTTCAAAAAGGAAGGTCAGTAGTATACATTCAACATGAATACAGTCCGATGCTTCATACTCAGCCTTTTCTGTTTTGATTTCTACCACTTCATTGCACATCATTTAATTATTGAGGCAGTCTTTTAGCAAAATCTGTAATTTGCTTGCCGTACCTGACTTTAACCATTGCTCTTGGCTGTGGAGTTATATTGACCTAAACACTTTATCTTCTTTCTATTCCTGCTCCTCTTCCTATATTCTGCACCTTAGTAGTGATACCTTCACACACCCAGCCTTCCCTAGATAATCCTAGAAATACCCTTGAGTCTTCCTTCCTGTCACTCAATGGCTAGTTGTTTGGACTTGGAGTCATACAGGCCAAGGTCTGCCACTTAATTGCTCTGTGACTTTGGGCAATTCACTTAACCCCACAGTGCCTCTGCTTCCTCATCTATAAAACACAATAATAATACTCCTCATGGAGGTATTGCAAGGTTTAAATGTGATTATGCAGGAAAGCCCTATCACATTGTCTGAAACATGGTAAGTGTTCATTAAGTAGTAGTTATTCCTGTTACCTCTTGCCCTTCACATCCAATTAGTTCCCCAACTCCTGCTGGTTTTACCTTCTGAATAGTTCTTGAATGTTCCTCTCATTTCCGTCCCTCCTCCTCCTACCCCACTTTAGGCCTCTATGCCCAGATTACTGCAGTGGCCTCCTAAATTGAGCCCCTGCATCTGCCTCAAACCCATCATCATCTATTTATGGCTACCCAAGGGATCGTTCTAGAGTGTACATTGGACCGTCTTGGTTCCCTGCTTATTGACCTCCAGAGGCCTTCAGGATCACCTCTGAATTCCCCAACATGCAGAGAGATTTTTGTTCTTTATTTCTTTGGGCTTTGTGACTTTTTGATGGTATATCAATGTCAGTGTAATAAAGGATTATGGTCTCTTTGTGAAACCTTGCCTAATTGTCCTGGCATCAGCCAGAAACTGGGAGAGGAACACAGGAGAAAGGAGAGAAACTCACAGATGTCTTTCCTTTTCTTTTTCTTCCCTCAAAAATAAAGAAAATCTAATAAAATAGTTTTCGTAAAATGAAGTTGCCATATTAATCTCAGGAAATGGAGATCAGAAAATACCAAAGCTATGAAAACATTGTAAAGATTAGAAAAATTATTAAAGGAAAACTCATAAAACAGGCAATTTAATATTGGATTCATTTCTTGGGTAGGATGCCTTCCAGGTTAATGTAATGGAGCTGAGAAGTATTAGCAATTCCTCTTCACACCTTTACAAATCATACCCAGTTGTCAAAAAAAGCAGAATGCTTCTGCTGTCAGCCCCATTACACAGACCAGAATAATAGTTTAGCAGCCAATTTTTGCTATTAACAGAACTCAAGGGAAAGAAATGACAGAAAAGCAAGCCACGGATGGTGAAACTAATTATGATGACAAGCATATTATTAGAGACAGGTAATGGGCAGAAAACTACATTATCATCAATGTTTCTCTCAACTCGGTAATGAAGACCATGTGGATATAGGTGTAATGGGGCCTGCTTGCTTGGCAGCAGGTGTAGAATAATTGGGTTGGTGTGAGGGGCTAGAAGGAGGGCAGAATAAATACTGCAAATAAAAGTAAAAAAAGATGCCATTGACTTTCCTTAGATTTGGATAGGAGATTCTTTTGGAGATGTTTTGTGTTTTTTCTGTAGAAGCAAAAGCAAACAGTCTGTGATAGAATTATGGCACTGCAGTTCTTAAGCCTTGCTGGATCACAGAACTCGGAGAATCTGATTAGGCTGTGAATCTTTCATCTCCCTTGAAAATAGCCCTTTAGCTCGTGTACACACAATTGGAGGTACAATTTCCAGAGCTTCAAGGGCCTATTCTTGGACACCAGATTAAGGACTTCTACCACAAAATATTGGAAATAACCTTCAATGGACTGCTTAAATAAATTATGGTACATCCTTACCATGGAGTATTGTGTGGTAATTAAGAAGGAGGCAGACCACCTATTATCTCCCACTATGGACCAACCTCCAAGATATTATTAGGTAAAAAATGCAAGGTACAGATAGTATTCGGGGTATTTTAGCTACTGTTGGTGTTGAAACACACACATACACACAACTATGCAATGCCTTTGGAAAGATGTATAAAAAGTTGGTAACAAAGGTTGTCTTTTACGAGGGAACTGAGTAGGCAGGAGAGGATGGGGGAACCTGGTTTTCAAAGCTGAACATAAGCAGAATTAGGATGAAAGGAACTGGGAGAGTTACATCTTGTCGTCCTGGCCACGGAAAGAGAGCCACCTCCCACACTGATCCTCAGCCTTTTGAGGAATAGAAATTTTAAAAATAGTAAAACATGATTTTTCTAAACAGTTATATTATTCAAGGTTACAAATAACAGCTAATTATTAGGAACAAAATGTGTCTAAGTTAGACAAATTCAAAAATATATATCTGCATTATCTCTTATTTAAATAAACCCGCCAAGGAATAGTATCCAAAAAAAAGAGTTTTTATTTTTCTGGTTACGTTATGGAAAATTTTATGGCCATTATTGCCTTGAAAAAGCAACTAAAGGGACCAAAATTTTCTCTTTTTTTCTGGTTATTTTTAAGTGATTTTTGTTTTAGTTTGTTTGGCAGGGATGTTATTTCAGCTTAATCTTGTGACTTTTTTCTTGTGATTGAATTTATTTTATTGGATTTTTTTTAGTTACAGAGTAACATATATTTGCTGTAACAAGTCAGACAATACATTTAGTAAAAGAAAAAAAAATGATCTCTCTCCAGTCCATCCAAATCCCCAGAGTAACCAATGTGAACAGTGTTGTATGTAGCCTTCTGTGCCTTTCGACATTCCAAACCAAAGCTTACAAACATGTACATGTGTTTTTCTTGCTTTTTTGAAAAATTTTTATCATACTATACCCATCACTCAGCAGCTTGCTTTTTTTATTTAACAGTTAGATTTATGGACATCTCTTCAGGCCAGTAGATCTAAGTCTAACTCCTTGTTTCCTTATAACTGTCTAATAGTCCTGGTATGAGTGTATCATCATTGATTCACCATTTCCCCTATTGATGGACATTCAGGTGGTTTCATTTGTTTTGAATTTTTTTGGCTTTTTTTTTTTTTTGCTACTACAAAAAATGCTGCAGTAAACAGTCTCATAAACATTTTCACTTCTACTGGTGCTTTTATTTCTGAAGACTGACTTTCCAAATATGGGACTTCTGGGTCAAAGCTTATGGACTTGAAACATTTTAATAGTACCGATGATCCAGTTTCCCACCTGGCAGTGCCTGGAGTTCCCAGACATGAGGTGCCATCCATGCTTTATATGTTGCCCACTTACATTTCTGTTGGAAAAAATACCCCTCTCATGAAAAGACGTAAAAAATAAACTCCATGCTGTGTAGCTAGACAGAGACTCGCACACGATCAAGATGAAAAACAGGCCTCCGGCTCCACCGTCTCACTGAAGTGATGCTGTTTGTCCTCCCCACTCATCTGCACACCTCGTCTGGATTATAGCCCGGGACAGCATGCAGACAGAGAGGCAGATGCCGAGCTCACTGACTCAGTGAGCACAGCTGGGGTAGGTCATTAAACAGACCCACTCCTGCCAAACAGCCCTCAGTGCTGGAACACTAAGAATTCCTCACTTCACTGTATTGAGAAAGAAATTTTTTTTCAAGAGACATGTATAGTAGAATAGTTGCACATGATCTGAGTGCCAATTATTAAAGAGTAGCTAACAATATTAAAAATAAAGACCATGAGGGTATTATGCATAGTGAAATAAGTCAGAGGGAGAAGGTCAAATACCGTATGATTTCCTTCATTAAGTAGTATAGTAGATAATAACAACAATAAACAAACACATAGAGACAGAGATTGGATTGGTGGTTACCAGAGGGGAAGGGGGGAGGGAGGAGGGCGAAAGGGATAATTCGGCACATGTGTGTGGTGATGGGTTGTAATTAGTATTTGGGTGGTGAACATGATGTAATCTATGCAGAAATAGAAGTATAATGAGGTACACCTGAAATTTATACAATGTTATAAACCAATGTTATTGCAATAAACAAAAAATTTTAAAAAATAAAAAAGACCAAAAAAGAGAAAGAGTGGATAGCTAGGACACTTTGAATACTTTGTATTTAAGTTGTATCTATGCTACTTCAATTTAAATCCTTCAGGTTTTAAAAAAAAAAAGATGACTGGACCCTGTAATGCGACAGGTGAGATCTGCTGCACTGTGTGCGGCATTTGGGGCAGGGTTCCCTGTGGCCAGTCCTCCAACAGCAAGCACATTTGGAAGTGCCCAGCCCTTCAAGGGCACTGTTTGGCCTCTTTTCTCCTTTCCCTGCCCCCCTTATCTGTGCCCTCACTCCGGGAATGTGGGAGAGGATAGGTGGTATACTGGCCCAGAATTTAATATGAGTTGGGAAACAATGGAAGTCGTTCCATGCTCAAGATTTTCTTCCGCCTCCACACCCACTCAAAGAAATCAACTAAAAATGTGTACTAATAACCAGCAGATTATAAGCACGAAAAGCAGCTGTTAAAGCAGAATGCCAGTTGAAAGATAGAACACAGTGAACTACAATGATCAGCCTTAATCCTTTTCTTAAATTTTGGGTTCTTTTCCCAGCAGAAAACAGACCCTGAGAGAATGGGATATTACAACAAGATTGGAGGGAGGGAGGATGGTCAAGTTCCTGAACAATCAAGTCTCTGCAGCAGCTGGGGGAAGGAAGCTGGCTCCTTGGAGGTCAGTGGGTTCCAGTGAGGGCCAGGGAGGCAGAGCAGAGGCAATGGCAGGGGAGAGAGAGATGAACAGAAAGGAAGGATACACACAGAGGAAAGATACTGTGTTTCTGTGTTTGAATAAAATGTATGCCAAGATTACATGGGGTCTTCAGATTCTTTTGTTTTAGCTAGCATTACTCAGAATAGATGAACCATTTGGGAGTTCAGATTCAGGTAATACTTGCAATAATGGGCTTTAATACAAGTGTACCTACCCCTTTTTATCCATTGGCACTGCTGTTTCCTAAAGACCAGATGTGTATTATTTAAGTTGGAAGAACTATCAGAATATGTAAAATGCAGTTGTTGGAAAGATGGTCATGGAGCTCTCCCCTCCCTCACCCCCTACACTTGTGTTTCATGCTGTAACCTGCTTCCCTTCTGCTCACACCTGCAGTTCCTCACCTTGCTCTACTTTTTCCTTTTTTCAATAGTATATCTCACCTTCTAATATACCACATGAATTACTTATCTATTATGTTTATTGTTTATTGTCTCCATCTGCCTGCTGGAATGTAAGTGCCATGAGGGCAGAGTTCTCTGCTTTCTTCGCTGAAGTATTCCCAGCGCCTAGAATAGTGTTTGATGTGTAGCAGGCACCCAATCAATAGTGAATGAACAAAAGTGAAAAGCAAATTACAAAGAAATGGATATAAAATTATCCTGTTTTTTGTTTTTCAAAATACCTACATAATAATACCTGTAATATAGGGGGAAAAATCTGTAGACAGATATACCAAATTTTAAATAATAATTATTACTGGAGGGATGGGATTAGAAGAGATTTCTATTACATGTTTCTTAGTGTTTCCCATTTTTACAATAAATATTACTTTTGAAGTAAAAAATGTTATAACAAAATAAGGAATTAAAGAATTTGGTTAGACCTGAAAGAAGGAGCTTTGTTTGTTTATTTGTTTTGTGGGGATATAGGTTACAGTGGAAGAAAGTTATATTATTACAAGAGCCTTTTCTTTAAATTTGGTATTGTTTTGATAATCTTGCATTGGTTTTTTAAACTTAGACAAGGCTTACCTGACTTGTGAGTTGATAGACAGGTTTCCCTAGAGGGGTCATCTAATTTTTTTTTCTCAGTAGCCTAATAATAATTATTTACCTAGCATGCCATCTGGGGGCTCTTCTTAGGTGGTAGATAATAAACTTAAAGTAGGATTGTACTTTACCATTGTATCTCCCCACCTAGCACTGTTACTGGCACGTAGTAGACATACTATGTGAGCAAGGGGCTAGTGAGTGAGTGATGCCTTTGGTGGGATATATGATTGTGGGGCCTGAGAGCTGGGTGGAAGGGAAGGGGAAGTATCAGGGAGCTAAAAGTCCTTCTTATCCTTAAAAGGATCCTGAAAAGAGCTGGTCAGCAAAAGGTGCTTACTGAACTGTAGCTTATAACAGGCAGAACGTGAATGCTGTTCATCATGGGAGCTGTGAAGTGCGTTGTTTTACAGGGAGTATCTCCCTACAGGCAAGATCCATAGAACAGGTGCAGAATTACTGCATATACTCATTCTGCCTCTTGTTGACTAAAGGCAAAGGCAGCCTCACGAGATCCTGTGTGCTGTAGAGAGTATTCATTATACAGCATTTTATTTTATTTTTGCTAATCTATTTATTTTTAGATTTCTCATCTTTTAAAAACTTTATGGTCATTTTTCCAAACTACTGAAAAGAGCATTTACACTAAAGAAAAAAAAAGACTTAGCACCGGCCCGGTGGCGCAGTGGTTAAGTTCTTGCCTTCCGCTTCGGTGGCCCAGGGTTCACCAGTTCGGATCCTGGGCGCGGAGCTACTCACCGCTCATCAAACCGTGCTGAGCCAGTGTCCCACATAGAAGAACTAGAAGGACCTACAATTAGGATATACAACTATGTATTGGGGGCTTTGGGGAGAAAAAAGAAAAAAAAAAGACATTTCTTTCATTCAAAATTTTGGTGGTTATGCTTTTGTTTAAAATACTTTCTCTAAGCACATACTGTCTATTTTAAATGAATCAATTAAGATGGAGAAGTGCCCAGTCGTATATCCTTGCCCCAAAATTAAATATTTGAAGGGAGATATCTTATTTTATTTCCATTTTTCTGTTTTTCATTTCCATGTTGCTGAAATGTAGTTAAACTACTAAATTCAAGGCTCTGCTGAGCACCCATCCTGTGCCGGGCACGATATGCGTAGGATGAGGGCCCTTAATGAGCCCGGTGCATAAGTTTTCCAGTCCAGGCACAGGAGGGTGGGGGAGAAGAGGTCTTCCTTACTGGGGGATCTGGGAGGCTTCACAGGGGAAAATTGGCTCCTTGTTTCAACTGCCCCTCATTTTCAGGCGGGCACTTATGAAATGATTGCATTCCCATGAAAGATAGCTTCTACATAATTCAAGATTGTCCTGGATCTCTGTCATCAGAGAGGAAGAAAAGCCGTATGAATTATTTACAGAGCACCAAGTTATTTCCTTTCATGAGCTCCGACTTTGTTTTTGTCTCTGCAAACTGAGATTTTGTTTATCCGTGAATAGTTTTCCCTGGGGCATGAAAAATATGGCTCTTTAATTATGAATGAGGTTTTTTGTTTGAGTCCGTGTTAACTAAAACACACAAAACAAACTGTGTTTTTCATTAGATCCCTTTCAGCTCCCCACAAAAACAGAACCAACAAAAGAACGAGCAGTTCAACCAGCGCCCACCAGGAAGCCCACTGTGATTCGAATTCCAGCCAAACCAGGAAAATGTAAGCACTTCTCTGCCTTCTTTATTTGCTTCTCCGAGAGCCTGGGGGAAATATATGCTAATTTATCAATGACTGCTTTTGAAATTATGTGTAATTGGCTATTTGTTATTATTCATAGTCAAGGACATTTAAAACCAAGTTGTTTTTTCACAATTCTTTAGACAATTACTACAGTAAATTTGGATTTCAGTTGTCTTTAGGCAGAGAGAATAGAGGGAGACTGAAGCTCAGAACAATTGTAGTATCCTATGTTAGTGCCTCTAGCAAAGATGGTAGGAAAATAATTGAAACTAATAGCAGATCAAGTTGTATATGTCTGTCAGGAATATATTATTTCAATCAGCATAATCTACATATCGCTATGTGTGAATTGTGTAAGGAGCAGTAACCAAAAGTTATAGAAACATATAACAATGTATAAAAATATTTTTTAAATTAGTGTAACACTACATTTTTATGTACTTCTTGACTTGATTTTTTTAATGGAACAATAAATGAAATTTTGTAAGCTTTAATAAGTTCTGCAAAGAAATCTGATATTTATTGTAAGAAAGAAGCCAAGAGGGCCAGAACTATTTATTTTAGACCCCAGACATACTTTTATTAAAAAGTATGTGTAAAAGCCTGTGTGTATGTGCCTGCGCATGCACATACAATGGGTTCCGAAGCAGTTCCTGGCATTGCTTGGAGTCATCACACAGCTTTCTTCGTGAGCCTCTGCTTTCATTTCATTCAGTGCCTTTGCATGGCCCAGAGGCATCCTTGCTTTTGTCTAACAAGAGATTCCGCCGTTCCATTCCTCCTAAGAGCAGAGCAAGTGTCCCAGTCCTTCACCTGTAGCATCCCAGGGTTGTATTGCAGGCATACCCTGGAATGCCATGGAACTCCTTTAGTTTAGGGGTTTGGTTTCTCTACAAAATACTACCCAGAAGGATCATATTGGTTTTAGTTTCTTGATGGTTTTGTTGTTAACTGATGGCCCTAAGCCGAGTAACAAGAAGATTGAACTGAGTTGCTATGAAGAATGAGAAGGAGAAAAAATCAAGGGTACCAAATTCTGGTGGGTTCTAGCTTCTTAGGAGGTTATATGGTTGTATTTTGACATCATTATATAGCCGAAAAATCAGTAAAATGGTAGCGCATTGGGTTGTTTGCCTGCTTGCTGTTACCCTGTTAAATGTATTCTGGATTTTAACAGGCATGGTGAGATATAATGATAATAAATATTGCCTGAAGCTCATGTGGGTTTTAAGTAATACAACTTTTATATTTAAATTTGTTCTTCTGTTGTGTCAGGGTCCCCAAGACCCTCAGGTTTGGTGATTTGCTGGGAGGACTCACAGGACTTAGCATATAGTTGTGTTCACGGCTGTGATTTATTACAGCAAAAATATACAAAGAAAAATCAGCAAAGGGAAAAGGTGCATAGGGCGAAGTCTGGAGGAAATCTGGCACAAACTTCTAGGAGTCCTTTCCCAGTAGGGCCACACAGGGAGGACTTAACTTCCCCAGGAACCAGTTGTGACAACATGTGTGAAATGTTGTCAACCAGGGAAGCTCATTAGAGACTCAACCTGCAGGCTTTTTATTGGGGGCTGGTCACATAGGCACCTCTAGGAACTTTGGCACGTGCCAAAATTCCAGATACCCAGAAGGTATCTGGGTGTTCAGCAGGTGTTCAGCATAAGCTGTATTCTTTTGTTTTATGCCAGCAAGGACCAGCCTTGTAAGCAGGCCTTTCTAAGGATAAGCAGTCTCAGACCTGCTATATCTACTCTTTTCTGCACACTTATAAATTGTATTAATAGTCCTGAAATCTAAAAAGGATATATTGAGGAAGCACCTTATTTATTATCCTGACAAAGCTTCAGGAACTATTAGAAAGTTGAATTCTATATATACTACTACATGTGAGAGAAATGAAGTGCCCGTTTCTAGAAAGTTATTTCTATTTATATAAAAAACCCGTTCCCCAGAATTTTATTATTACAATTATTAAGCAATGCATATATGCTGTAGAGAAAAAAAAGTAAGACTGTTGGTGTCTGAAGAACTTGGAATGGACAAAGGAAGAAAGGCACAGCTTTGTGGTACAAAACTCTCTGCTTTTCTTTGAACCTGTCAGCTCCTTCACCTCGGAACTTGTTTCTTCTCACTAGGATGTCCTTTCTAAGATATCTGCATAGCTCCCTCCTTCACCATTCCTTCAAATCTTTGCTCAAATACCACTTTTCTCATTGAGACCGCCACTGACCGCATTATTTGAAATTGGAAATCTCCACCTCCCACACACACCCACACCAGATAATCCCTATGTCCCTTCCTGCCAGTAAACTACCTCCTCTCTACTTTCATATTATTATTACTTTGTAGCCGTAATTGTTTGTCATGACAGTATTATATCCTAAATGTTTCATATTTCCTTGTAAGAATAAGGAAACTGTAGCACAGAGAAAGTCTTCAGGATGGGGGCTGAGTTGGAATGTTCCTGCATGTGTCTTAATTCCCAGAGCAGCCCTGCCTCACTAAGAATGCTTGCCTGTCTGTAAATCATTGTTTTCCTAGTAGCTGGCCTGGGTATTTTCCTCCTTTTGAGAGTGGTTTCCTGTCTGTGGATAAAACAGGAACCTGACAAATCATCCTCTTGTTATAAGTTTTTCCTGTGAAATGGAAGCAGAGAGTGTTCATTTGAAAGAATGAGAAAAATTCCCATCTCCTTTAAATGCCTAAACCAGTGTGTAAAATGTGGCTTTAGCCTCTTTTAGTATGCTACAGTCATCCTCTCTCCAAGTGTTTTTGCACACAGATTTTAATTAGCTGACACTAATTAAATCTAGTCATCTATGGGGATTTTTTTGTTTTTTTTAAAGTAAGTTGGGGGTGCACTATTACTGAGTTAAGGATACAAAGATATTGTTTGTTAAATTGAGGGCAATTAAGCCCATTAATCTGGAGCTAATGAATTAGAAAACACATTTAATTATTTGGATGGGGGAAGGTTGGAGACACTACCTATTAAGCAGCAGCATGCCTTACTAATTACAATGCCTTATTATTATTACAATGAGCCCAGGCTTTTGGGTTCAAAACCTTGGATCTGACAATTACTAGCATTAAGACCTTGGATAATTCATTTATTTTCTTCTCAGCTTCATCTGTTAAAGGAGTAGGATATTTCTTCTCAGTTTCTTCATCTGTAAAATGGGTAGGATATTATCTAGCACCGTAGTGCTGTCCAGTAGGACTTTCTGCAAAGATGGAAATGTTCAATGTGGTAATCACTAGCCACACGTGGCTATGGAGCACTTGAAATGTGGCTAGTGCAACTGAGGAACTGAAATTTTAATTTTGTTTAATTTTAATTAATTGCGATGTAAGTTTAGATTGCCATATGTGGCTACTAGCTAGCGGACTGTGCGGATCTGGCACATAGATAGATGTTGATTGGAGAAATGTATATAAATAAAGTGCCTGGCACATAGAAGGTTCTCAAAAATGCTGGCTGCTGTTGTAATTATTTAGTATTACTTTTACTCTCTATAAAACATTCAGTAAAATTAACTGATGTCTACTAACCCATCAGTGGGAACTCTTTCTCATTTGCTTAGCTGTCCATTTTTTGTGTGGATCTTTTATGATAGCCCTTTTCCTAAGGAACCAAGCTGCAATCATTTCATCCTTTGGAATCCCCAAAGACCAGAAATTATTGATGAATTACTGCTATTTTTCTAGGTTTACATGAGGATCCACAAAGCCCACCTCCTCTCCCTACTGAAAAACCTATTGGAAACACTCACAGTACAGTATCTGGAAAACTCAGTAATGTGGACAGAACTAGAAACTTGGTAAGTGGTTATTATAGACTGTCTTAGGTCGAAGACCAAGCTATGCACTAATTTTAAATACTCAACTTATCTTCATTATTTTACTATTGGTCAGATTAAAAAATACTTTTATTACAAACCAATTTCTAAGACCCATATACTTATTTAATGTGATATTCAATATTTTAAAAATCCCTATAGAACAAAAGAATTTGGCCAATCCGTTGTACTTCATCATAAAGTAATTTGTCCTATACTGATCTAATAGCATTGTCTTTTAAATGGCACTAATAATGAGGAAGTTATTAAAATCTCTAAAAACCTTTAATATTTGTCAAAATAGATTTGGTTCAGTTGTCAGTTTTTATTTAAAATACCCAATTAGTGATGCAATTTTAAGATAATTACTATAAGAATTTGTTCATCTGAAATTTAGGGAAAAAATTTTTTTTTAGTTTAAAAGATAGTGCTTTGCCGTGTACTTGTTAACAGATGGTGGTCAAAGAGTTTTAAATATATATGTATTAAATATATATATATATTTAATTTCAATCTCAATACCATCCTTTTTGAAATTCCCATATGATAGAGTATCTTTAAGGTTTGTTTCAAAAGAAATCAATTCTTAAAGTCTTTGAACCAAATTTTCAGTTTAAATTTCATAATAGTTTTACATTGTGCATTAACTATGCTTTTTATACATGCAAACTCATCTAATCATCTAGTGAAGAGAAATTTCTTTGAAGGAGACATTAACTTGAATTAGCCAATATCAAGTTAATGAGATTTTCCTGTAAGCTGAATTAACATTTAGTGATCACTTGCATTTTCAAAGTACTTGGTAATAAATGTTTTATTAAAACTGGGCCAAGAAAGCCCAAAAGAAGATGATAGGGCCCCTACCATATGTTGTTGAATAGGAAAATCCCAAATTTCCATGGAGGAAAAGTTACTTGAGAAGGTTACTGGCTTCCACTCTAAGGGGTTGTAAAAGAGAGTGAGAGGATGATGAGTAGGCATCCATATCGTTCATTAAGTCATGTAATGGGCTTTGTAAACCATAAAGCTCTATTAACATGTTAGGTATTATTACATTTGGTATTAAGCAGTCCACAAAGCAACTCCTACGTTTTAGAAAAACAAGAAAAGGAAGTTAAAATAAACTAAACTATTTGGAGAGGTATTATATTCATAATTGTTTGTACCTCACACGAACAGCATGAGAAAAATCCTTTCCTGCACTGTTTACAAACGGGGGGGGGGGGGGGGGGGGCGTGGTCAAAGCCTTCTGTGCTGTACTGTAAAAAATACACACCATAATAGACACACTGGGCCTGAAGGAAGAAGAGATGCGAAACAGACCACAAGTTAAATGATTTGGCTGAAGTCACACATACAGATTTCCAGGGCCAGAAAGTCAAATCTACGCCTGAGAAATTCCTTTTGTTTGAGAATTACAATTACTGAATGAATTTTAGACCAGAGGCATAAAGGCTTCAGGTGTGGGCGAGGATCTCTAGAAAGAATATTTCACCAGGGTAATGACCCATGAGGATAGGCGTGGTCTTTGCCAACTGTGTCTTCTGATGAGGCACAGGACAAAAACCCTCTACTATTTCTCCTGCCTTGAGTGCTGGGGAACTTTCCATCTCAGGACAAGATGGCTGTAGTTGTGAAATCTCATTTTCTTTGCTTAAACGATGAAGAATATCAGGAGCCACTGGAGCCATTCTGTCAGCAGGAGTAGACACTTTTGTGTGCCCTGTTGCCCACCATGGGAACCCAGGAATCCCAAAGCCAGGCAAGGAGGCTGCCAGGCAGTGCAAGAGGAGAGTTGGGAGACACTGCCCAGTATGTAAGAGGAATCAAAGCTATAGCACAGAAGATGGGTAATGAATTCAGGACATAAGAAGGTGGTACCAGTTCTTGGAGAAAGAAGAGAAAAAACATCTGTAGAGGCTGCTCAGACAAGAATGTGGTCTTGGAAGAAATATCTGTCTTGTGAAAATGCAGCAAAAAACTGAGGAATTATTTTGAAATTAGAATATAAGAAACCATTCCAAAGCAGATGAACAAAAAGATGGCATCTGCAGGGACAGTACAAGCAGAAAAACCAGCTTCACCAGGAACTAAAATCTCATCCAAACACATCAAAAGCCAAAGTTCAGGGATGTCAGAGCTAGAGAAAAACTACAAAAAGGAGATGCAGAGAGGCTCCAGTTATGTGTGGAATATTGAAGAGGGGGAAATCCCTAATCAATGGTCTTCCAAAGACTGTCGGCAGAGCCTGTGCACAAACCTGAACTTGAACAAACGCTAAGACAGTTGCTTCTGCAGGAACCAATCCCCTGTTCTCAATATTTGAAGTGTGTCAGATACAGCAGTGCCTTCCAGAACGTGCCTAACATTCCTGACAGATTTGAGTATACTGCCTTTCTTTTTCTGATTTAAAATTTTCTCATTGTAGAAAATTGAGAAATTAAAAAGATATTTAAGATTCCTCATAAGAATAACACCACCCAGAGAAAACTACAGCTAATATTTGGTACAAGATTAGGATTATATGCTATGTATCTATTAAAGTACGTCATCTAGGCCAACAGACACATGAGAAGATGTTCAAAATCACTAACTATCAGGGAAATGCAAATCAAAACTACAATGAGATATCACCTCACGCCCGTCAGAATGGCTATAATTAACAAGACAGGAAACAACATGTGTTGGAGAGGATGTGGAGAGAAGGGAACTCTCATACACTGCTGGTGGGAGTGCAAACTGGTGCAGCCACTATGGAAAACAGTATGGAGATTCCTCAAAAAATCAAGGATAGAACTACCATATGATCCAGCTATTCCACTGCTGGGTATTTATCCAAAGAACTTGAAAACACCAATGCGTAAAGATACATGCACCCTTGTGTTCATTGCAGCATTATTCACAATAGCCAAGACTTGGAAGCAACCTAAGTGCCCATCAAGGGACGAATGGATAAAGAAGATGTGGTATATATACACAATGGAATACTACTCAGCCATAAGAAACGATGAAATCCAGGCATTTGTGACAACATGGATGGACATTGAGGGTATTATGCAAAGTGAAATAAGTCAGAGGGAGAAGGTCAAATACCCTATGATTTCCTTCATTAAGTAGTAGATAATAACAACAATAAACAAACACATAGAGACAGAGATTGGATTGGTGGTTACCAGAGGGGAAGGGGGGAGGGAGGAGGGTGAAAGGGATAATTCGGTACATGTGTGTGGTGATGGGTTGTAATTAGTATTTGGGTGGTGAACATGATGTAATCTATGCAGAAATAGAAGTATAATGATGTACACCTGAAATTTTTACAATGTTATGAACCAATGTTACTTCAATAAACAAAAAATTAAAAAAAAAAAAGTACGTCATCTATTATTTTCCATGTCAAATTTATACATCTATATTTTTAAAATTGCCCTTAATTATTAAGGTATCTAACAACTATCATTTTGAGAAAAGCAGTAAAAGTTCCCACCTAGAGTGTTTTTCTGTTTGTTTGTTTTAATTTTAGAGGTGGCCAAAGAAATAATTGAGTTTTTCAAGTATCATAGCCGTATTTGTCAGGGGGAAATATAGGCAGCAGCATTATTTATAAGGCATGGATTATAGTCTGGAATATTGCAGGGTTTATGAGCTGGTGACTTGCCTCACTACATTAACTGAACTCATTAGTGAAACCAAGTTTTAAGGGCAAGCTTAATTTGTTTTTAAAAATGGGATTTTTAAAACATTGAAACATATTTAAATGATCACAGTTATTGGCAATCAATCATCTGGTATTTAAGGAAAAGTTGTAAACATTCAGTTTGAATTAAAAACCATGGAAGTGAGTTTTAAGTCATTTATAAGATGAGGAGGGAAACAGTCTGAATTAGCCCAGAGATTCCCAAGCTATAGTTAAACTTCCTTTACAAAAAAAAAGGCAGTGTAATTTTACAGGGCTAGCATTTTTTTCTTTTATGAGGTCTTGGAGAAATATTATTTTCTGGATGTCAGTGTTGGCAGCTTAGAAAGTAGAACGGTGAGAAAAAGAGACACAATCAGAATTAAAAGAATTTGATGAGAACTTTTCCTTAAAAAAACAGAAGTTTTGGCTTTGAGATCCTTTAACTTCTCACTCAACAGAGAATCTGAAAATATTTTCCATGTATTATACTTATTTCCCAATCCTTGGCCTATAACATGTTCGGAAAACCTATTTAAAAGGCACAGTTTGAATCTCTTCCCCTAGAGAAATCTTCCTATTGGCCTCCACACTTCCAATTTCTCTCATCCACTGTTAGGCTAAAACATTCCAACTCTGCCAATCTTTTGTTTTTCATATTATCCCCCTTTACTCTTTCCTACAAAACTCTTCTCAGCACATCTAACCCCTTTTCTGTAGTGGTACAAGCTCTCTGCTTTCTTGGGCCTCTTCTAATCCTCTTCACATGCCTTCTTTTCAGGCCATCCCTTAAGCTTCTTTTATGTTCCCACCTCCTTCTGGTTCAAAACCCACTGCACAATGTATAAACCATCCAGTGATGAGAGATCTGCCCCTTCTAAGCAAAACAAACTAATCACCACCTCGCTTATTATATGTTTAAACTTAGCAGCAGTGCATATCTTACATGTTGTTGTAGGATAAGTAAAGGCCATGTATTTTTTTAATTCCCTACCTTGCCTGCTTAAATTGCTACTGTGTAACCTATCATGATTTAAACATAATCCTTAATACCTCATGAATCTGCTGGGTGTATAACCATGCAGTGAAATTGGTTGGGCTGTGGTCCACAACAGCAGACCCCCTGGTCTCCTCCTCTCTGTTTTCACTTGTTTTAGGACATGGACAGTTTAGGTAGGAACAAGTAATGAGTTAATATTGCTTAATACTAAAAACTCTTAAGCTGCTTTCTGTAACTCAGCTACATTTCCACTTATAGATCCAGCCAAAAAGTTGTCCATAATTCCTCTTGACAACCTCTTGTTTCAGATTAACCTTAACTAAAAAGCATTCTCTGATACTTGCAGGAATCTGACCACACTGGTCAAACAGGAGGTTCTGTGCGAGGACCCCCAAGGTTGCCACCAAGGTAAGTAAGTGGGAAAACTTTTAAAAAGTAAGTTAGAGAAAAACTAATGACTCAGAGACTGGACTCTATTTTCTGTCACCAAAACTGAGTGTTGTTGGCCTTAGATCTTCTTTTAGAAATACATTAAACTCAGAAATTCATCCAGGCTGCCAGCCTACTGTCTGCTTCTGACAGAAGGTTGTAGGAATCTCTGCTGCTTTCTTTTAACACAATCCAAAAACTCACAGAGCACAAATATAGATCTCTATTACTTTTCCTCAGACAAATGAACAAGACTCCTTTCTCAACCTAAAACAACTCCACTTCTGGCATGAATACACACACTCGCTCTCTCTTTCTCTCTCTGTCTTTCCCCGTTATGAGAAACCAGCCTGGTTTTTGGCATTTCCAAAGGGAGACAGGCTTTGTAAGCTCAGAGGTGACCTGCCCTCCTGAGTTCCAGGGGTTTTTGAACAAAAAGCTGTGATGCTATCAAAAGACGTTACTAGGTTGGAAATTATTTTTATCATAGGGATTAAGGAAAGGCTTTCAGATTTTTTTTTTGTAAAGAATGCACTCTCTCTCTTTTTTTTTTTTTGAGGAAAATTGGCCCTGAGCTAACATCTGTTGCCAATCTTCTCCCCTTTTCCCTTTTTTCTCCCCAAAGCCCCAGTAGATAGTTGTATATCATAGTTGTACATCCTTCTAGTTGCTCTATGTGGGATGCCGCCTCAGCATGGCTTGATGAGTGGTGAGTGGGTCCGTGCCCAGGATCCAAACCAGCAAACCCCGGGCCGCTGAAGCAGAGTGCGAGAACTTAACCGCTACACCACCAGGCCGGCCCCAAGGCTTTCAGATTAATAGTTGTCCTATCCCATTTTCAGAACTTGCTTTCTTTATATTAACATAAATTAGAGTTTTAATAATAATTCCTATAACATGAATATCAGGGGAGTTTGATGTTCCTTTTCTAATCATGTATAAGCCCCCATCACGTATACCTGATGTCTTATTATAATTTTTTCATCTCAGACTTTGGTAGAAAGTGCTTAGTTTTCTGAAACAGTCATGCTGTGTTTAAGAGCAAATGGGGCCTTAGAGAGCTCATGATAGTAAATGCTTGTTTGTCTTGAACAAATGAATCTCTAGTGCAAGATAAGAGGAAGCTGGAACATCATGGCATTTCCTCTAATAATATAATGTTTAATGCAGCAGTCATTTGTTCAAAAAGAGCATACCCTGCATGTTTCAGTAAATTGTATTACACTAGCAGAAAGCTCTGTGTGTGTGTATGTGTGTGTGTGTGTGTGTGAGAAAGGACAAAACAGATCCTAATATTGATCAAACATTGACTCACAGCTACCGCATTGACTTTCAGACCTGCAAATGGAAAAATCATACCAGCTCGACAGCCTCCTCCCAAAGGAGCCCCTGAGAGACCACCTCCCCCCAAACTTTCTGCAACCAGAACATCAAATAAAAAACTACCTTTTAATCGGTCTTCTTCTGACATGGATCTTCAGAAAAAACAAAGTAACTTGGCATCTGGACTCTCAAAAGCCAAGAGTCAAGTCTTTAAAAATCAAGATCCGGTGCTGCCCCCTCGCCCCAAACCAGGACACCCTCTCTACAGGAAATACATGGTAAATTTAGCTTTTAAAAATGTTTGTGGTCAAGAGGTTTGTCCTAAAGTATATATAAGATCCATTATTCCTTAGAAAAAGGCGATAAGACAAATGTGGAATTACCCCTTCACACTAGGAGTGCTTTAGATAAGTAGGTGATAATAAAACCTAGATCTTTAAAGTAGGGTTTCATTATTAGGAGAAATATAGGAAAAGGAAGCAGGACAGACAGGATTGTGACTTGCTGTCTGGCTTGACCAAACAGAAACTCTGAAAAACCTGACCCAGTAGATCTACTGATGGGAGTAACTCTGACAGATGTTATAGTTTATATCTTAATATAGTTTATATTTTATAGCTACCTTGCCCACAGAAGGTATGAAGTAGAAAGTTCTTATTAAGATGGATGGTTTTTCCCTCATTTTTCCCCTTTGTAAAACTAAAGAAATTTTCATCGATAATTGGGATGTTAATTTTGTTCTCTTTGAATGTTTTTGTCATCGTATGACCTTAAACCTTTGTCTCCATTTCCCACATTTGAAAACAGAGTTGATCTGCTCTCTCTACTTTGGTCAGGTTAACATGATAAAATCTAGAACAAATAAAAATGATAAGGAGAGCAGGACTGTTTGCAGTTTTAAAACAGTTGTATAACAGTAGCTCTTAATAAGAACAGTAATTAATAATTTTATATCATTCTACATTTCCATCACTGAGCCAGAAATTTTCACTTTAAGCCATTTAGGATTTTTTAAGATGTCTCTCCTAAGAGAAGGGTGTAAACAGATAAGGAGGAGGTAGTATATTCATGTATATACATATTCATTTAAACTGATGAAATTTTAATTGCTAAAACCCAATTTTTTGGGATATGTTACTTAAAAATAGTAAATAAATAAATACAATAGCTGATGTGTTGAGTACTTATTATGATCCAGGCATTGTTCAAAGCACTTTATATATATTAAATAACTCATTTATTCCTCACACCAACCCTGTGAGGTTGATATTATCTCTATTATACAAATGAGGAAGATAAGACACAGAGAGATTAAGTAACTGGTCCAGGGTCACAAAGCCAGTTAGAGTCAAGATTTGAACACAGATCAGCGGGCTCTGAGTCCATGCTCTTAACCATTAAGCCAAACTATGAAAATAGTGCTACTAGTTGTAAAGTCTCTACTTGCTTTGGCTGTTCCATGGTAAGAGCCTTATTCAGGGGAACCAGATTTTGCTTATGGTTCTAATCATAGCTGTATAATGTCAATAACGCATTTGAATAACTCAAAGAAATTAATAAAATCAAAATGATGGTATGTTAGAGTACTATGTTATAAAATAATTCCTTAAATCTCTCGTTTTTTCCATGGCTACCCTACCATTAAATTGCTAACCAGGAATCTGGGTACATTGGGAGCCCTGAGACTCTGACAGATGTTGGGAAGCAGCACCGCTCAACCCAGCCTTACAGGGCCACACCCTTGCACTCTGCATCTTTGATCCTGAGTGATCAGAGGGCCCAGGCAGCCTCCCTTTCCTTGTTGGAAGTGAGCTTGTGTGATCACATTTCCTGGGTATGCCTTTTATGTTGTATGGGCCCTCTGACCTGCACTCATCAGCCAAAATTTACTAAGGCAGCGAACAGAGTCCCCTGGCCAGGCTGGGGTATGGATGTAAAAGCCATTCTAAGATCAGACAGAGCTGAGTTGATCAGGAAGGGACTGCGATCAGGCAGTGAAATGGGTTTGAGTAGATGCTTGGTGTCAGAGAGACTCTAGGAGAAGATGCAATTCAAGGCAAATGGAAGCAGTCAGACAAGCACTACAGAGGAGGCACCAGTGCCCTATCAGCCTTTAGAAGGCAGCCATCGAGAACCCTGAATTAAAGACGTGTCTGATGGGCTGTGAGGTCAGGTGCTGAGTATTTATCCCTCAGATGCTCAGGAGGCTTAGTGGATCTTCTATAGAATAGAACTTCCTGGTTGTGGTTCTTAAAGGGAACTTTAGGCCACACTCAGCCATTGTAGTCCTGTGGGCTCAAGTACACACCCCTGAGGACTTTAGTATCCATGAGTGATGGCAGGTCCCACTCGATCCAGAGCTTGAGGAAGCCAAGTAGAGAATTTAACTGCTGGAGAAGTTGCACTTTAGGCACACATGCCAAATCCCCAAATGACCAGCAATTTATGAGGAGGTAATTTGATTGTGAATAATCCTTTTATTGTTTACATTTAAGCTGTCTGTGCCTCATGGAATTGCCAGTGAAGACATTGTCTCACACAATCCTGGAGAACTCTCTTGCAAGGTGAAGTAGAGCTCTTTCTTTACTGACTAATGCAAAAAATTGCTGGTCTCTGTTACCACTTTACACATTGTTAAATGCTTTGGGCTCCAAAGATTAAAATGTGAAAAAAGTAATAATGTTTTATTAAATAATAATTGCTTCAGAGAGTGGTATTGTACCTTACAGCGTGGGGACGTACTTGTGATGCTGAAGCAGGCGGAAAATAATTACTTGGAATGCCAAAAGGGAGAAGATACTGGCAGAGTTCACCTGTCTCAGTTAAAGATTATCACCCCACTTGATGAACATCTTAGAAGCAGACCAAACGTAAGGAATTAATATTGTACAGCCCTCATATCACACACGGCAGCACATTTCATACGACTATTAATTATCTCTCATCCTCAGGTTTTTATTAGCACATTTATTTTAACCAGAGTAAAAATTACAATTGCGTTTTATTCCACTTTAAGAATAAATTACGTCCAAGAGACTTGCCACTGCCACACTAATCACTGTGATACAGTGTGACTACCATGTGTTTTGCCTTCTTCATATCGTGCTGACTTATAGCAACCAGAGCTCTGTCATTAATTTTCAACTGTGAGAGCTGTTTATTTTTGAAATAAGGTAAACATGTTTACCAAAGTACCAGAGATTAGTTTCCTAGTTGAATGGATAATTATTTTAAAGGGGACCCTATAAATGCTAAGTCTGACATAAAAAAGCACTTCCCTTTAAGATTTAAGCTTAGTATAAACCTCATTTCTCTGATCATAGCTCATAAAATAATGAAATAAAATGTAATCCAACAACCTGAAGTCACAATTTAGGCCTAACAAATTTGTAGAGCCTGGGAGAATACAATGATTATCGAAGGTCGTTTATTTGGCAAGAAAAAGGCCATTGAACAATTTATAGAGGTATATTTTTAAAAGAACTTCTTAAGTTATCCAGTTAAATTCTCACTATCTATCAGTTAATGTACTAAACATGAAATATAATACTCACCAAACATTTAACCCAAAGAAAGTATTTGGTTTACCATTCATCCTAGTTTTCATAATCTAGTCCAATTCTTTCTTTTTAGAAGGCTTTTTATCTTCTGAAGTTTGCTGAGAAACTAAACATTAGTATTTTGGAGAGCAGAGAAGATATATGTTAAGCTAGTTGTAGCTGGGATACTGAGAATTCTAACTTTAGTCCACACAGGGCAAGTTCTTCCAATACTCATTTTCCTCTTGTTTTGATACAGCATTATCCATCTGTCACAGCTGTCCTTCCTCTGTCGGAACACACTGATGGGTAACAATGGGAGTTGTACTGCCAAAAAGCTTCCCTTGATGAAAAATAGAAGCTATTAATTAGTTAATTAATTATTCTAAATTAATTAGCTAATTATTAATTCAAAAAATTAGAAGATATTCTTTTATAACAATCCAAAGTTTTTTCCACTTTAGACGTTACCTTACTCATCTTGTACCATAGACTTGCAGAGAGTTGACCTCCGATGGCCAACTTCTGGTGATACCAAAATGAAGCCTCCTTTAGGCTTCTGGGTTCATGGCTAGCATTACATTTTTTAGACAAATAAAACTTACCTATTTGAAAGCCTGGTTTTAAGGTAAAGATTTCTAAAAATGTCTACCCATATCGTAGTAAACAGAAAATATTGGACGTTATCGGTTGAGGTTGAATCTGTCAGATCATGGGAGAAGTGGGAGATTGTTACCTAGTGCATGGTTGTGAGCACAGATTTGGGTTTCAGGGAGTTGGTTTCAGTTCACCTTCCACCACCTTAGGGGGTTATTTAACCTCTCTAATGTTCATTTTTTTAATGTGTAAAATAGGTATGATAATTCCTCACAAAGTTGTTTTTAGAATTGATTTATCATGTGATTCTATTTATGTAAAAGTCTAGAATAAGTAAATCCAGAAAGTAGATTAGTGGTTGCCTAGGGCTGGGGGGAGGGTGAATGGGAAGTGACTGCTAATGGGTAGGGGCTTTCTTTTGGGAGTGATAAAAATGTTCTAAACTTAGATTGTGGTGATGGTTGCACAATTCTGTAAATATACTAAAACTGTGTATACTTTAAATGGGTGAGTTTTGTGGCAAGTGAATTATATCTCAAAGATGTTTATTAAATTAAATGAGCTAATTAATGCATATATGGTGTTTAATACAGTAGCGCATAGTGAGCGAACAGTGAATATTAGCTATTCTTATGACTCATTTTTATTAGCAATTATAGTCATGTTAGAAAGAGCTTTGAAATATATGAGATTTACCTACCAGACACCCACCCTAATGGTGTGGTCTAAGTTGTACTGACCCCTTGTGGCTAACCTTGTTTAGCCTGTTCCTCTTGCTCTTCATCTGCCAGGCCAGGTTGATGAGCAGCGTTGCCAGGATATCCATGCATTGAAGGCAGAGAAAGGAAACTAATTGGGAGATGCAAGTTACCGTCCAAGCTCTTCTCCCCTCTCGGGCTTGGTTATGTTTAGATCATTGGTCCATTTGGAGATTCATGTTTGTGTTTGGTGTGGGGTAGGCCTCTGACTACATTTTTTCCAAATGGATAGCCATCTAGCCTAACACTATTTATTGAATAGTCATTCCTTTTTCCACAGATGTAAATCAGAAAAAAATGAAAACCACACATATAATAAATTATGTAAATAATAATTTTTAAAAGCCCCTCTAGACTTAAAATATCTTACAATTCCTTTCCACAATCCCTGAAATTCCCATCATGCTCATTTATTTAGGGAAAGCACTGGGAAGCCTATAAGAGAATGTCAGTGTTACTTTGGTAAGCTACTATAGTAAGCTGCTATTAGCCATTACTGTCTTGACCTAAATTAGTATTTTATTTTACCTAACTTGAGAGAATGCAGCATGCCTCCACAGGCACATTTTGGTTGAAAGTGCAGGTGATATTCAGAAAAGATCTGAGCAAAGAGGCTGCTGGGTTGGAAATGGAGAAAGCGGGCCATTATCCACAGTACAGTCTGATCAACCTGGCGCATCATGGCCAGAAAGGGGTAGAGGAATAAAAGTGTGGGGATACCCCTAAGGGGACAAGAGTCATTGAAGGAGATAAAGAGACCAGAAAGGGCACAAAAATCTGCCTTCATTTATTTCACAAGTTTGCCAGTGTTGAAGAGTTTTTAAGTTGTAATTCCAAATAATACCCTTCAGTCAGATTTTATGATGCTCATGATGTGAATAAGGCTGTCTGTTCACATAAAGAAACTAAGATTAACAACTGCTTGTCAATAAGAAAAGGTCACTCGGGGCCGACCTGGTGGCGCAGCAGTTAAGTACGCATGCCCCGCTTTGGCAGCCTGGGGTTCGCGGGTTCAGATCCCGGGCGCACAGCGACGCACCACTCGTCAAGCCACGCTGTGGCGGCATCCCATATAAAGTAGAGGAAGATGGGCACGGGTGTTAGCCCAGGGCCAATCTTCCTCAGCAAAAAACGGAGGATTGGCATTGGATGTTAGCTCAGGGCTGATCTTCCTCACAAAAAAAAAAAAAGAAAGAAAAGGTCACTCTTCAACTTTATCCTCTCCTTCAGCCAATCAAGGCAGTTGGCTAGATGGATAGAGAATATTGAATTCTCTTTACTAATTTACTTAGAATTACTGTTGAATAAACCATTCAGATTAAATAGAAAATTCAAGCCAGGTGTTGGAGGTAGCGTCAGTTTTCAAATTAGAGAAAGCATTCAGTTAAGTGGTAATAAATGAAATGGATTTTACTTTTTGTGAATTATACTTTTGTGGAAGTCATTAGCTCTTTTCATTACAAAAAGCAAGAGCATAAATTGCAGGCCTTTCTTCTTTTCCTGTCTTAATGAAGACACAACTTTAAAGGCTCTGTTCTTAAGGTTTAGTCCTGATCACAGTTTAAGGAAAAAGCAACCCATGTTAGGTAAAGAGATCCATAACAACTATTTCAGGGTAGAATAGGTACTGGTTAAAAAAAAAGAAAAGTTAAGTAATTCCCTTTTGTTTTACTCTCTTGGTTAAAAAAAAATGCTAGAAGACGTTATAATTGAGAGTTATTTCTCTCCTCCCTTGGCAAGGACACATGCCTTTTCAACTTGATAATGATTCCCTTGTTTGGCTCAACTCTGTGGTTTGCATCTTGTACTCATAATGTAGTTGTGTCAAGAGGACTCTAATGAGGAAAAAAAAATGGTCTCAGAGTAAATAATAAATCCAGCATCCATCCTGCACGCATCATTCACAGCCCTGTTTTCCCCCTAAGGATCCAAGCCATGCTCAGAAGCCTGTTGACAGTAATGCTCCTCATGCTGTCGTTCTTCATGATTTTCCAGCAGGTAAGGACATAAATAATAAAGTAGTAGAGCCTTAGGATCCAGGAGCAGGTGTCCTCCTTGGGTTAACCTCTCCAGGACATCCTTTTTCATTTTCTGTGCCAACAGAGTCCTGGACTGGAGAGGTCATCTTATCGTTCACCCCACCTTCAGGAAGAGTCGATTGTACCCAATCATTCCAGAAAGCTTAGCTGCACACTCATGCCTTTGAAACTCCCCATGAGAGAGAGAGAATTAGTTTCCCTTACAAATGAACAAATAGCAAATTACCTACCAGTTGCAGACTTTTTAACTCTTTCAAAACAGTGGATACCAATTAACAATTATAATAAAATTAATTCTAATTTAGTAAGTGAAGTTCTTTTCTCCTAAGAGTTGTAAAGCCTAAACACATAGCTCAGCTAGTACTTATGAAATGAAAATATAAATTTTTTGTAATCAATTTTTGCACACCTTTTATATCCAAAGAAAATAGCCCCCTAATTTATTTATAATCTCTTTTTATCCACTTGGTAGACTGATTTTTATTTCAGTATGAGTAAATTTACTTGCTAAAGAGCTGTAGCACTCCCTTAGTTAATATTTTGAGATTGAAATGATTTTTAAGCATGACTGAGAATAATAAGAATATTATACCATGTCTATAAAACTCTCTTATTGTTCAATATATATTCAGCAAAGAGTTCGTATTGGCACAGTAGGAATCATTGCCCAGCACAATATTTTGGTTTTTTTTAACCATTTCCTATCAGTTAATGCATGGTAAATACATCTAATTTGGTCTTAAAAGAAGAAGCTCATAACAACAATATCAAAAAAAAAGAATATATTTTTTAACTCAATTTGATTAGTGTAATTTGTTCACAGAATCAGTAGAACATACTCTCTCAGTGGGGAGAACTAAATGCTACTTTGTCAACTGCTGCTTTAATCAAATCTGCAACCAGGGTAATTCATCATTCATAATTATAATTTTATATTACAGAGCAGGTTGATGATTTGAACCTCACTTCTGGAGAAATTGTTTATCTCCTGGAAAAAATAGATACAGATTGGTACAGAGGGAAATGTAGAAACCAGACTGGCATATTTCCTGCCAACTACGTCAAAGTAATTGTAAGTAGATTGTGCTTGTTTAAATTGGTCATATATTCAGTGGGTTCTATGTAGCTTGTAGTTTGGAGAAAATAACTGGAAGGAAGCCTAGATTCTTGGGTTCTAGTTCTCTCTCTTCCATGGATTCATTTGGTGTTTGGAGAATTCCAAAAATAAAAGTTTGTTAAACTAAATAATGGTTAATTATTATATTATGGAGTATTAGAACTTAATGCCTGAAAGCTATCTGAAATCCTAAAGTGAACAACTACTACAGGTTAACTGGTGAAGCCACTATTCTTAGAGGGTTGCTAAGCACTTAAGGATATATGTTAATTCTTTGAAACATTAAGAATTGAATGGTACTATATTGTCCTGAAGGAGTGTTCTCTGAGGTTATGGTACCACTTCTTTTCTTTGGAGTGCATTTCATTTTTGGTTTTTTTCATCCTTTCCATTCCTGTTTATTTCCATCTTTAAAAAAGTAGATTTGGGAATACTTTCATTGGAGGTAGTTGTCCATTAATGGTTTTTCACATAATAATTCAAATCTGATTTGGAAATATTATATTAAAGCATGAGAATTTTATACACCTTCACAACCTAACTTGTGAAGGCAGAACCAAATGGTAGAGCCCTAAGTGCTAAGGCCAGGTGGCTGTGAAACATGGGGATAAAATCAGACTGCCACTTGAACACTTATATCAATAGGAAGAGTGTGACTCAGTCCCTGATATAGTTTATTGATACTGGAAACTATCAATAAAACTAGCTTAAATAGTTGAGCATTAACAGCTTATCTGGAAGAAAAAAGCAAATGATTTTCCATTACATCAAAAACTTAGAAAACAAATATAACAGAAAACCTGTATTTTTCAAATATAAATGAGTTTGAGTCTCTTGAATTACAAAATGTGGGTCTTAAAAATTGACCAGGATATATATGCCCTGATTCTTTGGAGAAATCCAACCACATTCTCTAAATTAATATTAAGAATAATGTTAGTTTTAGCACTCTTCCTCATTTTTCTTCCCAATGTAGCAGTACTTTAAAAAGCACAATTACCACACTGAAATCAATCACACTGAATCTGCCACATTATTGGTATAAGTGTTATTTCTAAGCCTACAAGTTTAAAAAATTGTTTTAAAACTTTGAACTTTTAGAATTCATCAAGAAGGGCACTGATTTATTTAATATAAACCTCAGAGCCTTAAGTAGTTTTCAGACTTAGTACATTACGGTCAAATATTTTATTACAACACAGCTCTACTGAGCCTTATAAATGAAGTACTATATAAAGTGCTTGTGACTTAGCAGATGCTCACTGAGTACTAATTCCTTTCTTCCTTCCCTATTCATACTGAAGGGAAAAAGATGTTCCAGAGTTACGAAAATGGAGAGAATCCACAAGTTTGATTAAAATATTTTATTTTGGGGTCAGGAAAGTATTGCAGAATTGTACCAACACTATAAGTAGGTGTGGTGGTGCACGAATGCCTGATGCCTAGTTTCTATCTTCAGTCCTCCTCGTCTGAAGTTTTCAACTTGGAGGATATAGGATAGAGAAAACTCAGTCAGGGGTAGAATGATTTTAATGTGCTTATTCCAGCAAATAAGAGAAGGATTGATGGGCTATTCAAGGAAGACTACATTACAAGTTATGCATTTTTTTCAAAATCCAAATTCTGAATTTTTTACCTTTCAGCACCCATGGTAACTCTTAATCAGTGTAACACCTAGCTAAACTGGTTAATTTCAATCACGCATTTTCTAATTACTTAGCTTTAAATTTATCTTACTAGAATCTGAAAAAGTAGAATTATTGTCTTGATTTTGTCTTTACTAGATTGACGTTCCAGAAGGAAGAAATGGGAAAAGAGAATCGGTTTCATCTCATTGTGTTAAGTAAGTTTTATTTGTGTTTTTTTTTGCACAAAATACAAAGGAGGTGAGCATTTATATCATAAAGAATTACCAAGCTTCAACACTTCAGATGTATGATTATTCAGATTCTCAATGTGTCTTTTTAATTATGAGGAATACTTGTTTAAAAAGCCTTAGTGGGGGCTGGCCCGGTGGCTCAAGTGGTTAAGTGTGCGCGTTCCGCTGCGGCGGCCCCTGGGTTTGCCGGTTCGGATCCCAGGCGCGCACTGACACGCTGCTTGGCAAGCCATGCTGTGGCGGTGTCCCATGTAAGTGGAGGAAGATGGGCATGGATGTTAGCCCAGGGCCAGTCTTCCTCAGCAAAAAAAAAGGAGGATTGGCAGATGTTAGCACAGGGCTGATCTCCTCACAAAAATAAATAAATAAATAAATTTTTAAAAAAGCCTTAGTGGATTAAAATTCTGATGAAAGTGCAATATGCTGATGGAAGCTGACATAAGCAACTCTTCCTATCAATATAGGACATATGACAGCAACAGAGTCTATCCTGATGCTTCCCACAGCCTGGCCTCAGCTAGAGCAGAGATGTTTTTGTCATCCAGTGCGTTTTGTTTTGGGCTTCTGGTGTTTATCTACCAACAGATTTTTAGGAGGTTCAAATAGTTTTGTCATCGAAAATGTGAACCCTAAAAAAACACTGCTAGACATCTTGTATTGTTTTGTTTTTAAGAGGAAGTAGAAGAGAGGAAGAGTTAAGTTGGAAGGGTCTGCCTTTATGTCTGAAGACCTTTCTCTGAATTTATATACCTTTTATGCATCATTGTGACTCCTTTGTGATTTAAAACACTGCCACAGTGCAACTTTATTTTCCAGTTAAATGAGCAAATTAATAGAATTCACTACCTGCTGAAGACTGTAAACCTGTCTTTGAATAGGTCAGACATGAGGAGATGCTCCCTGAGGACTTTAGAAAATAAATGCAAAGGTTATCACAAATAAGAAAACTTCTGCTGCCACAGTAGTTGAATTCTACTTTGGGTTCAATTTTTCTTCTATTTTTTAAGCTGTGTTTACTGTGTCAGCAGGTTGAATTTAAAGTGGGCTTTTACAGCCATTGATCCATTGACCTGACTTAAATCAGACTTTGATTGGAGCCAGTACCAACCTTTCTCTTCAGGCAATTGCATATCCTTAGCCTGTTGCTTTTGAAACTTCCTTTCTAAAGCCTCAAATCAAAGGTTTGGTATTAAATCATACCTTCTAGAGACACAATTTCATCTCTACTTTTATTCTTAGTCAAAATTGCAGATCATTTAAGGATTGTTCTAATTCTCAGAAATGAAGCCGTTTTAAAAGGAAATACAAAAATCATTTTTAAAACAACAGTGTTAGAAGATTAGGTATTATAAGATAAAATATGCCAAATTTGTGTTTTCTTTGAACCTTCTAGTTTTGAAAGCCATTCATTTATATATACAAATCTATGATTGATTCAGCATATATTGAGCATCTACTCTGCCAGCTGATGCCCATTGCATTCTGCCATGGAAGTTTGAAGTCTTGCCCTGAGATTCTCAGGGTTAGCACTCCTAAACTCAGTGCATTTGTGATTTAGAGGGTTCAGACTCGGCCATGATTACTGTGGCTCAAGGAAACAAAGACATGGAGACTGGGGAGATTCTGTAATGAAGTAAAGGTGATCAAAAGACATGGCATAAACTGACCACCCAGCTGCTTATCTGGAATTCTACATGTCCTCTGTGACCTTGACTTGAGCCTTTCTGAGTGAATATGTTCATATCTAAAAAGTAAGCACTATCATTTAGAAATGTAGCTTATTCTTTGTCATGGAAAATTTTAAATTATGCCTAGTATACCTTGTTCCATAGTAAACAGAATAAGTGTTTATTGAAAGACTAAATGAAGATTTTAAAGCATTTTGAACGTTAGTACTCTTTAGTTTAACCCGTAAATATGATCTTCTTTGTTCAGAGGCCCAAGATGTGTTGCTCGATTTGAATATATTGGAGACCAGAAGGATGAATTAAGTTTCTCAGAGGGAGAAATTATTATTCTTAAAGAGTATGTGAATGAAGAATGGGCCAGAGGAGAACTTCAAGACAGAACTGGGATTTTCCCTCTTAACTTTGTGGAACTTGTTGAGGATCATCCCACCTCTGGTACAAATGTTTTAAGTGAGTATAGAGAATATAATTTTTTTATTATGTCCTATCCTAATACAACTAAACCAAATAATAGGATAATATGTAAGCTGTATAATAATCCATATTGCCATATTTTTTAAGATAGAAGGAAAAATTATTTTTAAATGCTAATAGTCATTATTGGGGTAGTCATTATTGTGGTAATCTCTCAAAGAGCTAGTTTTGGTGTTTTAGGTAATTAGCCATGGCTTCATATCAGAAATGGCCAACAAAGAAGCGTAGACTTTTAAACAGAAATGGGCTATAGAGTGTAACTAATGTGTATCCTCCTTCACTCTACAGTAAACAAGCCCAGAGAGGGTAGTGCCGTTCAAGCTTACGAAGCCAATACATGAAGAGACTCGTCTAGAATCCCAGACTTTTCACTCTCCCCCTACAGTTTTTCTCCAATACTGTATGGTCTTTACATCTGAATTTTTTCTTTTTTTAATGTAGGCACAAAGGTACCATCAAAGACCAAAAAAGAGGATTCTGGTGCAAATTCTCAGGTAGGCTGCTTGAATAGGTAACTGTAGTGAAAGCCAGTTTTCAACTCTGAGAGGAATATTAAAATCATAATTATCAAGAGAAAATGTTATAAATCATTTTTCAATTCGTATAGCAAATGTTTGAAATAAATTAAATAGTTAATTACTATCTTTATTGTATACAGAACTCATACAAATGGATTAGAAAGACATGCAAACTCTGATAGAAAACAAGGAAAGAGGCATGATTGGAATACTCATAAAAAAGATACTATAAGTAGCTGATATCAAAAAAATATTTTAACTTACTATAATCAAAGAAATACCTTGTAAAGCAGCAATAAAATACTATATAACATATCTAGTTAAAGATTCAATACATCTCAACACTAAACAATTATAAGTATATGAATGTTAAAAACAGAAAGTACAGATTATTATTATTATTATGTCTCACTCTAAGAAAATGATAAAGAATGAGACAAGATTTTAGTCACAAAGATGATCATAGTGGTGTTATTGTAATAGGAAAAAATTGAAAACAGCCTAAATATGACCATTATTGGGAGAATGTTCTGAGGCCATGAAAAACTAGATTTATAAAGTAAATGTCATGAGAGGAAAACATATATAGGGAAATTGAATATATAGCATAAAAAGACTAGAAGGAAAAATATTTCAGTTATTAACATTCAGTTGCCTTTAGGTGGTAAGAGTATAGGTGGGTGGGTATTTTTCCCTCTTCTTCATACATTTCCAAACTTGCCAAATGTTTAGGGACATTTGTATTATTTTTATAATGGGAGAGAGAAAAAAATGGATTAAAAATTTTACACTGTATAACATGACTTCAGCAGGGTTTAAACTGAATAGGAATGTGGGTGACTTCCATGTTTTTTGTGACATATGTTAGAAGAGTGAGCCTGATGGAGTCGTTGTTACTCAAAATGTCACTGGTAATTGGGCTGTGTCTCTCAATTCTTTCTTCCTCGCCCACTGATCAAGTGAAACAAGAAATAAAGTGACTACAGTTCTCCAAAAGAAAATGGTCACGTGGTTGCCTGCATTTCTTGGGAGTGATAAGTACTATTCTTTAGGGTTAGTTACTCAAGTGCAGGAGCAAGAGGGCTGGTGTTTGGATTTTTTGTTTGCCTGTTTTTTGTTGTTGTTTCATAAGCTATCAGTTGTTGAGAACTTAAGATGTTAGAACTAAGCGTTCTACATGCATTTTCTCATTTAATCCTCACAGCAACCCTAAGATGAAGCTGAGGCTGGGAAAAGAGAAGCATCTTGCCTAGTGTCAGCTAGGAAGCGGCAGAGCTGGGTCTGGAACACAGGCCTGTCTGCCTCCAAGCCTTTGCTCGTAGCGTTATTCTTTCTCCCTGCTTGAGCTTCTTGAACATAGGGCTCCCATTCGGATGTGGCAGACACCTCTTCACAGATCAAAAGCTTCCTCTGATATGTTTAGGGTAAAAGCATTCTTGTTGGAGCGTTCCATCATGTTACCCACCTCGTTTGGGTCGTTATCCTGCCCACCTTCGAGCTAACTAATCCTCATAAAATTAAAAGTGCGAATGAATGAAGTTTTATGCCATGGAATCTGATAGCCTCTGAATCAGGTAAAGACCTGGAAGTTAACAGACTGCCCATACTGATCCTTCTTAATTTAGGTAAAGAAGAGCTTTACTGAAAATTATATGCTTTACCAGAATTTTTTCAAAGTATCATAGATACTGTACATAAATATTGTATGCTTTTACCTAATTTTTTTAATGTAACTAATGTCATAGATGATAATTAGAGAAAAGTTTTTACTTAAGCATTGTATATCCCTTAAAAGCAAAATAGTCACAAATTTTTTAGAATTATATTTTCAGAAAAAAGTTATTGGAAACTTTTATGTTGGGTACTCAATGGTAACATAAAATGTTGAGTGATTTAAAAAAGTCTTTAGGCTTTGAAATCTTATGACCCCTTAGCTTTTTTCCCACCACTTTATAAGCTTTGTAGAAATCAATTTTAGATAAAATCTTATGTTTCTTACCAGACTTCTGATTTGTAACAGGATAACAGTTTTTCTGGAGAATGGTGCGAAGCTCTTCACAGTTTTACGGCAGAGACCAGTGATGACTTATCCTTCAAGAGGGGAGACCGGATCCTGATCCTTGAGCATCTGGACTCGGACTGGTACAAGGGGAGACTGCGTGACAGGGAGGGGATCTTCCCAGCAGTCTTTGTGCGGCCCTGCCCAGGTATGACAACTACAAGAAATGACCCATTACTCTCTAAGGGGAACCCAAGACCTTTGAAACAGTGTATATTCCTTTTCCCTCTGGCCATGTTCAGTTTGTTTGCCTACATTTGAAAGAATTGATTCATAAAGTTATGTAAATTATCTTTATACTTTGTTGGAGTTATGGGGGGAAAAAGATAAAAATGCCTTCACTTAATAATGGCTAATTTTGTCTACTAAATATATTTTGTATAATTTTTTTCCTGCGAAGAGAACATCCTTTGTCTATTTGCAAGTTAAATAAATTCAAAATTAATTGGAAATAATCTGTCCTGGAAATGACAAGGGGATTTCTTAACATGTTTGATTCATATTTTAGTTCAACGTCTTTCTGTATATTTGAATTTTTGGTGTCTTCACAGCTGAGGCAAAAAGTATGTCTGCTTTATCCCTGAAGGGGAGGAAGGCCAAAGCCTTATATGATTTCCATGGGGAGAATGAAGATGAGCTTTCCTTCAAGGTCAGAATGTGTGTCTTTTTGTAACTGCATTAAGCAACTATAAATTTTGAAATGTCTTCTATTTAAGGATGGAACATTGGAGAAAGTATTGCTCATTAGCCAAGAATGAACAGATCTCAGACCCTAATTCTAAAGGAAGAGTTTAGAGAAGGTGAATAGGGCAAATGTGAATTATCAGCAAGGTGTTTAGGTACTTAAAGAAAACCTTATTGACTTGATAGTCCCACAATTCCCAAGCGAATTCCTTATTCCTAGGTCTTATAACATCAGATGTCAGTAATATTGGAGTTTTCATTGGTAGCCCTAGTAGAGGATGATCCTTGCAGCTTGCTACTGTCATGTCTTTGACATCAGTGGAGAAATCAGATGGTACCTACTACAACTGGCCACTGCAGCAGTGCCTCATAAGATGCTGGAGTCTTGTCCACAAAGACACTGACTAGACTTTAGGGAAGTGATCCCAAAGGTTAAGCTACTTTGCAAAGGTATTCTTAGAAGCCAAAATTGAATCTTAATCTTACTTCATCAAAGGAAGATTAATAAGCCTCTTTTTTTTTTTTTAAAGTAAAAACAGAATATGTCCATGATCCTGTTTCCGTAGTCCACAGTTGGACCATGGTCAGAGAAAAGCACCCAGGTAGTGCTATGGGACTGTGCCAGAGGAAGGAGGTGGTTTTAGTAGTCACTGCTGTCAGAAGAACCTGTGTCAGACAGTGGTAAATTCTTCATCATTGGAGATAGTCAGAGGCAGGGATGCCATAGGAGGAATTAAAGCATCAAGGAGTGATTGGACAAGGTGAGACATAAAACAGTGGGTGTTTTCACTGAAACAGGTTTTCACCTGTCTACAACAAAATGAGAAAAACAAGGTGATATTGGGTATATGCAGGCTTTTGGGGAATCATGAGTAAGGAGGGGGCATGCTGAGATATGTCAGTATAAGGTTGCTAACTTTCCTATTTTGTGATGGAGTTTTCCTTTCTTCTAAGAATTTATTCTTTTTCATATTAAAATATCATTTCTATTATAAAATATTATTAGTAAATTATAGATATTTCTTTTGCAAAATTATAATTTGGTAACCCTATATCAGTTCCTTTTTTTTTTTTTTTTTTTAACTTTTTGGTCTTTAAAATCCAAATGTTTGGAAACTATTGCCCTAGTCCTTTCAGTCTTGAGAGTCAGTGGCTCAAAATTAATTCCTTTTTTCTTTACATAAAATGTTACTGCAGGTGAACAATCTGGATTCAAACTTTTTGGATGTTATTTTGGCCTTTAAGTTATGTCAGTATAAATAACAGAACTCATATAACAGTATCCTCCAGAAAATAAGTTGTCTTCATTTTACAAATGACTGACTGTAAGGAAGATAGTTCTAGAGTTTTTAGTTAAGGGATTCTGCACTGCTTTCAGTATTGTTGATCATTAATACTTTATTAAATATCCACAGAATATTAGTAGATAACACTTATTTTTTTTAAAAAATTGTCCTAGTCCCTAGAAAACTGACATGGTATGTATGTGTGGACCAGAGCTAAGAAAAATAGTTTTAGTCAACCATTGTGTTATAATTTAAGAACCAGAAGGAATTTATTTATAAGAGAAACTTTGAATAGCCAGAATTTTTACAGATTTTAGCAGAATAAATTAATGACATTTGATAGCATTTTTCCTTTCCATTTTCCATAAAGAAAAGCCTTAAAGCAAACCATTTTTCCAGAGGGCAATGTACTAGGGCTACAAATAAATCCATTTAGCCTATAAAGATATTCTTAAAAGTAGCCAGGGTCATCTTGGACCATTATAGAATCTTAAACCCAGATTCTATGAAATGGTTAGAAACCATAAAGAACAAAATAGTTTCAGGAGATAATTTCAAAAATTATGTCTTTATCTGTTGAGGAATTATAATTCACACATGAACAAGACATACAGCCCCTTTGGCTAACCTGATGAGGATAAATCAGTCTTCTGAGTCAGGTTGAAGCTCTTTAAGACACGAAAGAATGCAAATTTGATATTGAGGCCATGGAGGAGTGGAATAAAACCAGATGGTAGAGGAGAATATATCATTATGTGGAAGAATAAATGTAGAGTACAAAATGCTCAGGATTTTGGGAAAAGGCAATTATAGTAAAAGCCTTTCTAAGTAAAAAGGTCCACTGTAAAATGTGGTGGCCACATTGCCTAATGGTTAGCAATACAGGCCCTGAAATCACACTAGATTTGAATTCTATCTCTACCGCTAATTAGACGTGTGACACTGAGCAAGTTGCTTAATCTCTCTGAGCTTCCATTTTCTTTTCTTTAAAATAAGGAAATCTATAAAAGTATCTCTGTAAAATGGGAATTGTAATAATACTCACCTCTAGGACTGCAGTGTTGTTTAAATAAGTTAATTCCTATGAAGTACATAGACTAGGACAAGGTGTACAGTAAGCACATGGCTCACTCTCTCATCTCCAAGTCTTTGCTTCAGTGTCACCTTCAGTGGGACCTTCCCTGACTGCCCTAATGAAATGGCAGCCCCACACTTTCTGTCCTCCTGTGCCAGCTTATTTATTTGTCTACCCGCTCTAGAATGAGGTCTTTATTCATTGCTGTATCTGTAGTGTGCAGAACAGTGTCTGAAACATAGTGGATGCTTAATAAATAATTGTCAGATGAAAAATAAAATTTTTTTAATTAAAAAAAATATATGTAATACACGATAGCTGGTATTATTTATTAAAGAAGAACTTTAGATCAGGAGTGGTGCATTTTGGGCACACAAAATACAAGCAGGAAAATCAAAATACAGCTCAGGTGACAATGGCAAAGGAATGGGCTTTGAGGAACAGCAGTAGCCAAGTAAATGGCATCATCAGGTACAGATCATCTTTGTGATACCTCATTTAATCTTCTTAGCAAATCAAGATAAATGAGTTATATAAAGAGAAGATTATACGTACCTCTCAAGGTGGGCTGCTTACCATGCATGTACTCAACAGAAACTAATAATAATTTCCAATTTCTGTCTTCCTACAGGCTGGAGATATAATAACAGAGCTGGAATCTGTGGATGATGACTGGATGAGTGGAGAACTAATGGGAAAATCTGGAATATTTCCCAAAAACTACATTCAGTTTTTACAAGTCAGCTAAAGGTGAAGCTTGACTGTGTTCCTTGGCACAAGAACTCACTTGAACTATCACTTTGACTATCAGATGTTTTTGCACTATTTTTTAAACTGAAAGAAATCTCTATGCTGTACATGGTACACTAGAATTTTCTGAAAGCAAAAAATGTCTAGATTTTGTAGTTAGCTTTCATTCACAGTAGAAACATGCACGTGGAAGCCCTTAAGCAAGTATTCTACCAAGGAAAACATCAAGCAGGATTAGCAAGGCAGATACACCCTTCCCCCAGGGAAAATGTCTGGGGACATGGCAGCATGGGGAGGCTTACAAGTAAAAGTTGCACTTGGACATCTATTTTCATCAGCACAAGTAAATTAACCGTGCTTCTTCATTTTTTACTTCAGTTTAAAAAGAGGACGTTTGATATTCTACATGCTGTAACTATCAGGACATGGTTGGTAATCTGAATTTCATTTTTGATATTCAAATTAATTCTAACAGCTTGAGCGCATTTTCCTTATTACCAGGGCAAATCCTTGCTTCAGGAGGGGTTAGTTTCTTGACTAGTTGGAGCCTTTGTGAGCACGGGATGAATCAGCTCATGCTCAACAAATGCTCCCTGTGTTACTAAGAGTTTCCCCTTTGTCCAAGGATTTGAAGGGGGCTAACATTTTATGTATGTTAGTCAGAAGAACCAAAACCATCCTGAAATGCCTTGCTAACACAACTAACCCTTCCACATACCTGCCGTACTTATTTCTGTCCTCCATGTATACTTTATGTTAACAGGGTTATTATAAAGCACATTTTCTGAATCTGCAATCATTCTTTTGACAATTACTGGTATCCAAAGAAAAGTTCATTTTCTTTGCGTTACCCCAGTAATATGTAAAAGCTGTGTCTTGTTGTAGTGGTACATTATGAATCACATATATCTCAGTACAGAGCAACTGTTAAGATGGAAAACAATGCCAAACCCCCACAGCTCATTTCTTCCCAATATAATCAGAATGAAAAATAATTTAAGAAGACCGAATGCTGATACTCTTTTTGGGTCTCCCCCACCCCCTCATCCCTGCACAATTGTTAGAGTAAATTAAAAAACCACTTTCTTGCTGTCCATTGTTCTGCATTCCAGGCGTAAGATAAAAGTGATTCTTTACTTGACTGAATCAATTCGTTTATGGGCTAAAGCCAAATAGGTCGAAGACAATCTTCCAAACAGATCAATGGAATAGAATTTCATTGGAAATGTAAAACACTTTCCCAACAATGTTCATGACTTTCTTCTGTTTTTGAGAAGAGTTTCATATGCTGGGCCACTTTTTAGCTTTTGTTGTTTCCCATTGTCCAAAGTTAGGCAGCCCGTGGTCAAACCATTATGTGAACACCATGTGGTTTTCTGTAAGGGAGGAGATATTTACTTTGTCTTTGATTAAAATTTATCTCCCAGTTATATGGTTACAATTGATTTTGGAGTATGGGAGCTGTTTTTTCCACATAGTTTGGATAAAGAAGACAGTATAAAGAAAACTCTTGTCAGATCTCACTCAAGAGTAATTTCATGAGAAACAGATTGTCCCAACTAAATTCCCATTTGCAGCAAGCTATATGACAGCAGGAAGGAGGGAGTGTCTGCAGTAGGACGTGAGGTATATTTCTTTGTGTAATTCTAATATATCGAAGATCGTGAAAAGCTGGCTTTATTGGAGAAAAATATCCCTCTTAAATTTTGGCCTTCTGTCAGCTGAGTGATAAGTGCAATAGTTGTAAATCTACTTGACACTATAATAAACTGAACCGAAATTTTCAAAGTCTTTTTCTCATACTAGACTGAGTTTTTCGAGAATAGAGATGGTATCTTATCTTCATATCTCCAGCTCTTTGCACCATATAGGCTCAGTAAAGGTTGGTTGGTTGGTTGGTTGGTTGGTTGGTTGGATGGATGGATAATTTTCACATATATACTATCTTGGATCCACCAAGATCCAATATCTTTCCTTTTTAATTTTTGACAAAAATATTGAAACAAAATTCAGTTTTATGTTATTTCACTCTGTCATGCTACCTTTTTTTGCTTGCCATTTATTACCCACTCAACTGACAAGAAGCCAAAATGTAGCTTGGAATGGGTTTTCATAGGTATTTTCTTGTTCTGTATATTGATTGAACATAATTTTTATACTTAGTTTCATAGGGGAGAAATAGGAATGTATTCTTTTTCCTTCCAGGAATTTTAAATGAAAACCTCATATTGCTCATCCAAGCCTCCTCAAACTAGAATCTCCAAATCCTTTTTCTGTGGTGGATTAAAACTAGAGAAGTCATTTAGTATATTATTCTTACCCTTTTGAACACTAAAAGCAGATTTCTTTAAAAGAGGCCCTCATTTACATGGCTGGAGGGGTAATGTAATATATCTGTCCTTGTGCTCATGGAAATCACAGGTTTTGAATATAATCTGAAACATTAATAATGAAAAAAATCAATGCATTTATCAAAATTTATTTAGAGCTGGCATTTGAAAAAAACAAAACGTCATTTTTCTGAAGAGTTTGTTATACATCAGTACTCTTCACAATAATTGTTTAGTTTTTATTTAGTTTCTTAAGTTTAGATAAATATACCTAGAAATAGTGATGGATATATGGGCTAATTATAAGGGGATATTTGGTATATAATCATTAATGGTTTATTCCTTTTAATTAATGTCACATGTACGTGGGCCACATGATTCATAATTCAATGCCATTTTGAATGCGATCGAATGAACTCTTTTAACAGTGAATTTTTTCAGAACTGAAAGGAAATCATTTTCTAATCTATGCCTTTTTACTTCACTGTAATTAATAGAAAAAATATAAAGCCTAACTCAGAGCAACAGCACCATCTAGGGACCTCTCACCTAATTGCAAGCTCATCCTGTTAAACTGCAGAAGAGAGGTTCCAGACCAGAGCTCAACATGCAGAGGTTAAATGATTCGCCTAAGATCATACAGGTACAGTAGAGCCATAAAGGAAAGCCTAGCTCTACTGATTCCCAATTCAGTACTTTTTTCATTTTTTGTGCTAAAGTGATATGTTTCTCTTTAGCAGTTAAACAAGTAAAATTGATCTGTTTTATTGGCCTGTAACGGTTGTAACTTCTCAGATATAATACTTCTGATTAGAATGAGTTGCAGAGAATAAATTAAAGCCTTGAATTTATTTCTTTCACGAAGAAAAGAAAATTCCTGCTCAGCTTCACAGTTTTATGTAGACAATTTATATTGATGTTACCTAAACACTCAAACATGAACTGATCATTAATGGGGATTCCTTTTTTTTGTTTAATAGGAAATATTTGAATGCTTGGAACATCAGATCTTGAAAAGGTGTGTATAGGGCTGTGCTTTTGGTAACAGCAGAGAAATCCTAAACCTAGGTTTTCATATACATATAGCGCAAAACACTGTTTTAGTATTTTGAAGACCAACAGATTAACTCAAGCACTGTTAAGCTAATAAATTTATATTTCAGAGTCCGGGACACATTCTGGATTTTTTTATAAAGGAATCTTAAGTGTATGTACACCATGGATTCTTTATTTATCTTCAAATACTGCAAATTAGGCAATAACTCAATGCAATATTTTTCAGGAGAAGTAATGATTCAAATCCATAATTCAGAAAGGAAAATTACCTGCCAGTGTCTATCCTCTTTTAACAGAAATTGACTGACAATCTTAATACCAACATATTGGCCCATATTTAGTTCTTTTTTACAATTAAAAGAAACAACAACTACGTTTATTTCCCCAATCGTATCCAAGTTTTTTATTGGATAGAGCCCTAACTCAAAGGATCACTGAGGCCTACCACATTATTCCCCAGGGCCCCAAGTGGCCAGCAGAGTTGTTACTTCCAAAGAGCCTCAGACCATGTGGTTAACCCTCCAGTGCAGTACTATACCTAAGATTACTCTATACTAGGGAGATAGTGGTGTCCTCTTTAGACATATGAAATGTCAAAGCTATTAAAAAAAAAAATGCAGCGATTTAAAAAATCCAATTCATCTGTATATACAGAGTACTTTAGGGGGAAGATGAATGTGGGGCAGCAGGCAGAGGCCTGTATCTTTGCTGGTCAGAGGTGCCTGGTTGGGCTATAAGAAGGCCTATGTATCCACTGCAATGAGGGAGTTGGGGGCAAGGGCTGAGAGCAACAGAAAATAGGGCACTAAAACACTGTACATCTATAAGACTGACTACGTAGTGGGATGATTGCCCCTATGCAGGTATATGAGGCTGTTCCTGCTAGATGGGGCTGGATGGCCTCTATATTATATTCTATTGATGGACACAGGGAAGGACTACTTTATAAAGAGCATAAGGGTAATGATGAGACCATAGAAGCTGAGTACCTCAGGGAAGATGAGAATCAAGATCATATTCACAAATAGGGCTGCTGAGCAGACCTCACACACTGATGGTCCCCACAAAGCCAGCAACCAAATCACTCAATCTGGTGCCCAGCTGCAGATAGTAAGATTTTCTTGTTTAGGATTCAGCAATGAAGACCTCTACCATCAGGCCATAGGTGGAAATACTAACCATGACCACTGGATTGTTGGACATCATGATCAGACCTGGCCATGTGACTCCTGGAGGTGATGTCCACACCACCATGCAGAGCCATACATGGAGCCAAGGTCCTGAATACTGTGGCAGCCAAGAAGCCCATGACAGAAAAAAAAGGTTTGGTTCCAGACCTGAATAGGTACGAAGTGCTGATTTCATTGGGTGGAAAGCATACCCCAGAATGGGACAGACAGACACTAAAATGCAGCAAGTCTATGACCTGTCTGGCTAGACCAACATTTTTTTTTAATTGGGGCATAATTTGCATAAAATGCATAGATATTAAGGATATAACTCTATGACTTTTGACAATTATATACACTTGTAGAACCATCAATAAATATATAGAACATTTCCATCACCTAGAAAGTTCCTCATACCTCTTTCCAGTCAGTCACCACATCCTTGTTTCCTCCCTCATCTCTTTCCTCCTGCAGAGACCACTGTTCTGATTTCTATCACCATAGAAATGTTTTGCCTGTTCTAGAACTTTATAAAAATGGAATAACATAGCATCCACTCTTTTCTTCAGGCTTCTTTTGCTCAATGTAATATTTTTGAGGTTATCCATGTTGTTGGGTGTAACAGTAGTTCATTCCCTTTTATTACTCAGTAGTATTTCATCATATGAATATACCACAATTTGTTTATCCATTCTCCTATCAGGTTTTTTCTGGGTTTTAGCTATTATGAATAAAGCCAGTGTGAACATTCTTTCTTTTTTTATTTTTTAAATCATTTTTTTTTTTTAATTTTTTTGTGAGGGAGATCAGCCCTGAGCTAACATCCATGCTAATCCTCCTCTTTTTGCTGAGGAAGACCGGCTCTGAGCTAACATCTATTGCCAATCCTCCTCCTTTTTTTTTCCCCCAAAGCCCCAGTAGATAGTTGTATGTCATAGTTGCACATCCTTCTAGTTGCTGTATGTGGGACGCGGCCTCAGCATGGCCGGAGAAGCGGTGTGTCGGTGCGCGCCCGGGATCCGAACCCGGGCTGCTAGTAGCAGAGCACGCGCACTTAACCGCTAAGCCACCGGGCCGGCCCTGAACATTCTTTCTTTCTTTTTTTTTTTTTTTTTTCTGGCTTTATTGAGATATAATTGACTGGTATGAATATTCTTAAACAAGTCTTTTTGTGCACATAGGATTTCATTTCTCTTGGATAAATTCCTAGGAGTAAAATTGTTAAGTAGTAAAATAGATATATGTTTAATTTATTTTAAAAGCTGCCTGTTTTACAAAGTGGTTGTACCGTTTTACACTCTACTAGTGATGTTTGAAAGTTCCAGTTACTCCACATCCTTACTAACATTTGGTTTTATCAGTCTATTGGTATTGTCAGTTTCAGCCACTGTAGTGAGTTATATTTTCTTTTGACACAAAACAATTACAGTACCGTGAACAGACTTCTAAGAGCTAATGGCACCTGCAATAATTTCTTGACCTTGACTTCGTGAATAGTTTTAGCAAATGGAAACTCACTACCCTTCATAGCTTTTACATTTGCATTGCCTACCACAGCACTATATCCAACAGAGAATTAACCACCCATTAAATTGGTGTGACTGGATATTTAATAGTATTAAGGAATTATTGTTGACATTTCGACATGTGTTTATAGGATTGTGGCTGTTTTCTTTTTAAGGAATCGTTTTAGAGATACGTGCTGAAATATTAACATTTGATATCTGAGATTTGCTTCAAAATAAGAGGGGAGGAGAAAGTGTCAGGAACTGTGCAGTGTTTGACATTTTACCCAACTTGTAAGCTAAAAAGTTAGTCTGCCACAGTTTCGTAGATGCTGGCGAAAGGCATGAGACTCCTGGGTCGAAAACAAAGGACTCGATTACTCACAGCAAAATCAATAGCCAGAGTTTCATGTTCATTTGTGTCAGTTTCTCATGACCCCCAAATCCCACAAGTGATACAAAGGGCCCATCTCTTGGTAGGTTGCATTACAGAAGAGGAACACTAAGATTTACTTCTTTCATAGTAAGTGGAACCAAGCCTGCTCTTTTTCCAGGGGGAAACATTACCTCATTCCTCAAGGTTGCTCATGAGGATGCAAACAGAACCCTGAGAAATGGCCTAGGTAAAGAGCAGTCAGAGAATTGTATTCTTGGCATACCCAACAAGAACACGCAGGGACGCTCAGGCTCTATAGCAGATTGCCTCTCAAAATTCACTCCTCAGCCTGACATGTTCTTGC